TCTGTCCATAAAGTAAATTGTATCAGAGTCAGCATGGTAGCTCAAATAAGCTGGATTGTTGACACTTGCATCCGTTGCCACTTTGTTGTCACCATCATATTTTCCTTCGCCGTCATTATCCCCTGCCACCTCAACTTGCACACCATTTACAAGTTTTGAAATCTTGTTATATGGTCCCTGTGTAAACACAACATGTCCCTGACCATTAACAATGACACTGCTACAATACAAGCTGTTCAATTTAGAGAGTTCTCTCTTGCTGTTCAATTTGAATAGTCCATTTCTAGTACCAATATAGACATCTCTTGTTTTCTTATCGAATGCTATACTAGTTGGTGTGGAAACAGAGGCAATCGAATAGATAGTATCATCCCTTGTGAGAACTCTTGCCTTTGCATTGCCTTGATCTGCGAAAAAGATGAAACCAGTTGTTTCATCCACAAATAGTCCAGTAGGATTGTTCAAGAGTGAATACTTCGATGGAATAGCATCTCCACTGACACCAGCCACAATGATACATGACCCACAAACATCATTTTGATAAATCTTATCTGGGAGTGTGTATTGACATCTATCGCCAAACATATCATTCTCTCTACAAGTGCAAATATTATCAGAGGAGCATTCTCCTCTTCCACTACAAGTGAGCTGGCTAGCTGTATCATAACAATTAGAATATTCGCAAGATTCTCCATAGAATCCCTCACTACATATGCATTGACCATTACTCATTTGACCACGATTGGAACATGAACTGTCCTCTTTAGCATTGGATTGAAATCGCTTCATGATTGTTGCTTCATTGATTTTAATGCATGTATCTGGAGCAATACATTTGGAGTTACCTTTGCCACCACATACAGATTTTGAACTTGCCTTCAATCCAAAACAAACTGGTATGTTACAATCACTTCCCGAATATCCCTTAAAACATGAACATTTGGTTGAGGCAAATTGTTGAGGAGTAGTGGTATTTGTAATAAGCCTTCCATTCTTACATGTAGGGGTTTTGTTCTTGTCATTCGGAATGGCCAAACAGTAGTAATTGGTTGATATTTGTAAAATTATCATCATGATGATAAAGTAGTTAAGGAGGAACAGTGCATTGCTCCACCCCTTTCTTGACTTGTTTTTCATTATTGATTGGTTAGTAGATGAAGATTTTTCTGAAAATCCCTGAAGGAGATAATTCATCTCTTCTCAAAAGCTTTTTTTCTCTTGATGTTCTATCCTTCTGGTTGTTGGATTATTATTCCTGCATTATTGAGGTTAGGGAGAGGAGACACGAACAATGAACCATAGTTGTACTGTTCTAATCCTTAAAGCCCTAGTTCTAGTGAGGGAATGAAAAGTGCGTTTATAATGAAGCCAAACCAAGTAAGGCAATGAAGCAGTGCTGTTTTCAATATTATATTGAATGTTGTAGAAGAAGTTGTTTCTATTAATTTCAAAGTGGATGAAGCAGACTGTTTTCAATAATAATATTATTGAATGTTGTTGGATGAAGATTAATTTCCGATAATTTCAGTTGAGATGGAAAGCTGTTCAACTATCAGTCATCTCTACCTTTACCAAATCATATAGTCGTGATATTCGGAATGGTACCTTTACTGTATCTTTTGTGGTTGATCATTTGAATAATGATAATACAATCAATTATTGTAATAGCTTCATAAAGATTGATGATCAATCTTTTTGATTTGCAGAAAAGATTCACTCTCACGGAATCCTTTTTCCACACTCATCAAATTCTTTGGCGCCCAAACGAATTCCGTATGCAGCAAAACATTTTTGAAGTTCTATTTTAAGCTCGATTTTGAACACGCAGCGGAAGCCAGTTGCTTGTGGAACTTGCACAAACGCAATAAATTTATGGAAAACGATCAGACATTTTCACATCGAAAAAAAACAACGCAACCAACAACAACGCAATACAAAATGTTCTTGAAAAGAGTTAATGCCACTGGTAACCAAATGATGAATAATAATGATTCCTCAATGGATATGTACTCCTCATCTTATAAACCACATCAGGGAATTTCCTTCATGTCCATGATGCAATCATCAAATAATACAACAGCAAGAGGTATTCACAAGCAAAAGAAGATGCAATCTACAAGAAGTGCTTCAATTATTTCTTCATCATCAACTATTAAGAGATTTGTTTCTAATACTAATACAAGCAGATTACTCAAGAAGAATGATACAGTCCTCATCAATGTTGATGATGAAATGGCTTTACTCCAAAGTGTCGATCCACAATTACAAGGTAAATTGGGTAAAGTTATTGCTGTCAGAGGTGATGAAATTGAAGTTGAATTGGTAAATGATGAAGATAGAGAAGAAGATGATTGGGATTGTTTTGCTATTAACAGCCCACTTCCAAAGACTGTCAATATTCCAAGCTTTTGTGTTTGTTTGGAAGATCGTGTCTTGAAGACTAGATTGACCAATGCTTAAACATCAAACTAGAGAAATGATGCGGAGAAGATTGTGTTGAAACTGATCACAATCTTTGTTGATTAACCATTTCATTTCACATATCACTGGTACAGTTTAAGATTACTTTGCGAAAGCACTTGTAGAGTTTTTATACAAATTTTAACACAACATGTAGTTACTATTCAAGATATATTTACTCATACTTTGAAAGAACAGGTCCAATGATGATTCTCGGATTTATCAAGTCTAACAACAATAACTTGATATTTACATAATCCTAGAAGAGTGACTTGTTTAAAAAATTAAAAATCCAAAAACATTTAAATAAAAAAGTCAAAATCAATATCAAGTAATTTTCTTTCTTCTTTACCCTGAACAATTAAATTGAATACATTTTGTTGGTTTTGTTTCGTTCCTGCTTGCTCCTCTTTGTCAAAATAATAATTTAATAATATAGAAAAAAATTTATAATACTTTTCCTGACTGTGGACAATGAACGGAGTAACAACAACAAGACAATAATACAACATCATTCAATATCAGCAAGCACAACCCCTTTGAAGCGATGATGTATTGTAATATTTATAACTTTCTCTTCGCAAGGATATTCGTTAAAGAAGCTTGGTATTCGTCGTAAATAGAACCACTATGTGGTTGTGCATGGACATTATTTCAAAACACCTCTTCTTCTACGGAGATGATAAGGAAGGACATGATTTGGCATTCGAACACATATTTGCTAATTTGGCGTAGATGAACATCAGTACTTGAAAAAAATGATGAAACTAAACTATTCCCTCTGTACCTTCTTCATCATTCTTGCAATCATTTCCTTCTTGCATGCAAAACAACCCCTCGAAAAACCAACCACTTTCGCCTACTCCATCTACTACCATGATAATTCATGCAATCAACAATCTATTTCAGCTATTGAAATCTATCCTGTTTATGGACAAAATGGAACTTGTTTCCAAAACTTTGAAAGCTCATCCCATTTCAAATACATGAAGGCAGTTTGTGGAAAGGATTCAGCCACCATCTATACATACTGTGTAGACAGTAACTGCCAATATTGTGATGCTGTCTACGATTGGAAATTTCACAAGAATGAATGTGGAATGCAAAATGTCGGATGTGGAAATATTCCACAACTTGTAGTTCCTTTATTGTACACCTATTCATTTGAATATATAGATGCAGAGAATAGTTGTTCTGGGAATTTGGTTTCAATTGCTGGAGAAGATGTAAATTATTGTGAACAAGTTACTGGAAAGGAATTCGAAAGGGTTTCCTGCAATCAAACAACTTGGACAAGGTCTTATTATTTGAAGGATGAAAGTTGCAGTGCTAATAGTTTTACGTATAGTTTGAATGGACGAACTAATGTTTGTAAAGATCATTCCATGTTGACTTGTGGGAAGGTTCTTCAATAAAACAGCAATTTATTAAATATTATCTGAAATCGGAGGTATCAATCAATACTTTCTTTTGTTGAAATTTGAATGGCTGAATCTAATCTATAGCAGTATGTTGAACACAGATTCTTTGGCCACCAAATGAAAGATAAGTGATACTCCTAAGAAACAGCTTAAATCAGTATTGAACAATTAAACAATCTAACCAATAACACCTCAACAGTTGATACGAAAAAGAAGCTGTTCATTAAGGGTTTGATTGTCGTACCATGACTTTAGTATTTTCTTAGTTTAGCCATGAAGTTGAGGTGGCCGAGTGGTTAAGGCGCCAGCCTGCTAAGTTGGTGGAGTAATCCGCGTGGGTTCGAATCCCATCCTCAACGTTTTGTTTTGTCTTTCTTTGTTTTTGTATTCGGAATTACTATCTTAGAATTTCATTTCCGTGTTTCAATTTAAATTCAATATTAATTATTATTATTCATTAATACACAATGATCATTCAATGAATAGATGAAGTTTTTATTCAATTACAACAATAAAACAATATTCAACAAGATTGTCATTAACAAACCAACAACAAATTCAAGCCATTTCCTCCATTCATTCTTCCAGATTGTCCTCCCTTTGGTTGACCAGAAGATGTAGATTTGTAAACAATAGGTTGAACATTCTCTCCCAAACTAACAACATTTGATGATCTCAAATTATATCTTGATGTGAACATTGAATTTTGAGCATTGAATTCAATTGATAAAATATTGGTAAAGACAACTCCACTCTTTGGAATCATTTCGAATTGAAGAGTTTGAGCATTAACTAAATTACAAACAGCACTCTTGAAATAATCACTCAATTTAGCTGCTGTTCCATCTGATTTCTTTGTAGATTTGAAAATTGAGAAAATCAATGATGGATTTGATTGAAGTGAAGTTACCCAAGTCTTTTCGAATGAATGATTTTCATCATTGATAAGTAATTGAATGGTTGTTGAGGTGTTTGAATAGAAAATCACACTATCAACTGCACTTCCCTTCAAATCTATAAATTTCATTGTCAAATAGGTAAGTTTCAATTGAGAATAGGATAAATCAAAAGTACATGCACTTTCAGAATAAAGCATGACACTGGAACCATATGAAGAAAGGAAGGAAATTGGCAATGCTTCATAAGTGAGGGAATTTCTTGAAGTGGAATCGAATATTGTTGCTGGATCAAAGAAAGATGGAGGAGCACTTGCATTATTACTATTAATATACATGTCAATATTGCAGTTTTGAGTATTAGCTTGCAATACAATACCAATACTTCCCAAACTCTTTTCTTTTTGAATTAAATCACTCAAATCCAAAATGGAAATACCTTTCGTCTTTGGATCAATGGATTCGGATAGAATACTTCTTGTTTGTGGGAGAGTGCTAAGAACCTTCTTACTGAACGAGAATTCTACTTGAACTGTCTTACTTGAGAGAGAAACATCCAAACGTGTGAGAATAACTCTGACATAATAGGTTGGATTCGAATTGCATGAACTCAAGATTTTAGAAGGTGAATCAACATTAAACAATGCCTCATTCAAACCAGATTTGGAATTAACCATATGAATTGAAACTATATCAGAGTTTGGTTTTGCCAATTCCAAACTAATGGAAAATCCTCTATTTTCAAGAGCTCTATTGGTCAACCCATCCAAAATTCTAATGAAAATATCACCAGATCTACTCAAATCACCAATAACACTCAATAAGGTATCACATGAAACTGCAAATGAAAGTGCACTTTCGAATTTCTTTCCAACAGATGCCATACCATTCAATAATTTGTAATTGTTAAAGATTGTAACGTTGGCTGAGGAGGAAAGTGAAAGAGCTAATGAGCCGTCGGCGTTGAGATAGGAATTGTCAATGGGGATACGAGCAGATTTTTGAATGGAAAGTGAGATTTGAGACTTTAAATTGTTAAAAACATCAAATACAGAGTTACCTAATCTGGCAGTGAAACTATTCGAATCTGGTCTAGAAACTGCCATGTAAGGATACAAATTAACGCTAGAAACTTGATTAATAATGGCATTGTCTACATCCTCCAAAGTATTAGAACTTGAAACACTCAATTCAGTATATGGATCAATCTTGACACTTTCCAATATGAAACCATACGAATCAACAGGAAGGAATTGAGCTGCAATGTAATGACTCGATGAACCAAAGTCATTTTCCATGGAAATAGTCCAGTAATAAGATAATGGCTCAGTGAGAGTGACATTTCCATTCTTAATAGGAATTGAGGTTTGACTAAACTTTCTTCCTTTAGTTTGAACGAAAGAAACTCCATTGTCCCAACCTTCAAAGATCATGACAACGAAATTACCTTTAATCTTTGCAGAGACGGCATATCTTGGAGAATTCTTCTTTACCACTTGTAGGAATGAACTAATAGCATTCATACTTGTAATAGGAGTTGGTGCCGGAGTTAAAGTTTGTTTCTCCTTTGTCAAATCAAATGAGAAATATTGATGGAATTTCAAATTATTGTCAGAAACAGAATTTGAAATTAAAATTGTACCTCCAGGAAGAGTTCCATTGAAAGCATAATGGAAACCATTCGAATCTGAGCTAAATTGCATGGCAACGTTTGTGATGGAAATGGCACTATCTGTTGTAAATGAAATGTAATACAAACTATTGATTGGAGATAATTTTACATTAATAGTACTAATACCAGTTGGTAATTTAAACGAATTAGTTGGAGTATTCGAAAATGAAATTGTCAAATCAGTTGGCTTTACAATAACTTTAGCATTAGTATTACCAAATATGGTTTGACTCGATTGAGTAGTAACATAATTCTTCTGCTCAATATAATCCACCAATACAGTATCATCAAACCACAATGGAACATCCTTCAAAAATCTAAAGTAAAGATAGGAATAACTAAAGTCAGGTTTCAATTCGGCAATTTTACAGACAGAACCTGAAACACAGGATTGAGTTGGTGCAGTTCTGTATAGCAATGGGCTCAATTTGATATCTTGATATTGATATTCCATGTAGTAATTACCTGTCAATCCACTAATTTCGAATGAGAACATGGTGTTGGAAGTTGTTGCTGTGTCTGGAATGGTTGGGAGTAAATTATCTTTGGAATAGATTTGATCATTTGGATTGATTGCCTTGTAGGATGCTGATTGGATGGAATAGGTTCCACTCAATTTTTCAATTGGTTGATAATCTAATAAAGTAAATTCAAAGTTCTTGATTAAAACATCAAATGTCAAACCAATCTTGTAAGAACATTTGACACTAACGAATGCCTTGTAATTATCAAGTGAGGAAATGATACCTTCTGCATGTAAATCTGCTTTCAAAGATGGCACAATTCCAATCGAAACTGTTGCCAATTTATAGAAAGTAATATCCAATGCTGGAATGAGTGCAACCTCAATTGACCCATCGAGCTCAATACGAAGACCAGGTGAAGAACTTGTGAAGGAAATGGCATCATCACCTCTAGTAACCTTATTATAACCTGCTTCTGGTGTATATGAGAAACCAATATACTTCTCATAGGCCATATCAAACTTTCTGGAATATTCCAAAGTACCAGTCAATTGGAAATTGAAGGAATATTGAAGTTTTGGAGTGAAATCTACATAAACTGGAATTACCCAAATGAAGAATGTCAAACCAATTGGTGGAGTTTGAATAATAGTGTTTGGACCAATCTTTTTTTGGAAAGATTTTGTAATACTGGCCTTGACATTGGCAGTTGCCTTCCATTGACCACCGACAGATGCTTCTGCCTTGGTAACTTGTAATTGAGTCCATGAAAACTCAAATTCTACTCTGAATTCGGTATTCAAATAAGCATAACACTTTTCACAAATAATTTTCAAACCATCCTGATCATACATGGTAACTTCATCATTGACAGGTTGACCAGTTGCATCATTGTAATTGAAATTGAATGCTGCCATTCTTTTAGTGTAAGAAAATTGTGCCTTTCTTGATCTGAGACTTCTTGAAGATGCACCTTGAGTGAAAACATTAGTTTCGTCCAAAGATTCTGTCAAGAGAGGTGTGGAAGAATATTCAACTCTACCATTCATAAATAATTGAGAGAAGGTGAGTGGTTGTGTGAGGAATTTAATTCTCAACATGTTTTCATCTGTTACGATAATAGATCTTGTCAAAATCAAGTAAAATCTTGCTTGATCCTTATTGTAAAGTTGATCAGTCAAATCACCATAACAATTCCATTGCTTTCCAATGATAATTCTTGTACCTGGTACCCATTTCATGGCAGTTGTATGACCATTTGCAAAATCAACAACAATTTCAGTTTGTTCATCTGACAGGACAGAACATGTGACATCCCATACATTTTGCTCATAATCCAATGAAGCAACACCTGATAAAACATTTGCATCAACAGAATATCTATGCAAAGATCCCATTGCTGAAAAACGAGAAACATCATTCAAGTTGACATAATCAACACTTTCTGTAACCAACATGTCAAGATTTTTCTTGATACTTCTTTTAGATGCTTTGCTATTGACAATATTAGAGTACATGCTTCTAACTTGTTGTTCAGAGACTTTCTTATAGTGAGGATATTCAGCCAAATCGTAAGGATCTGAAGCGATTGCTTTGGTCAATTGGGAATTGCTGGTGAATGGGTGCATGGTAGTTGGGATGAAAGGAAGTTGTTTAATCTTTCCTAAAACCATGGAGATGGAATCATCACTTGTTGTGGAGGTGGAATGATGGCTTGCTTTCAAATTAAACATTCTCATTACTGGGAAAGGTTTAGTTTCTTCAGCTAATGTTGACGAAACATGTCCACCACCAACAACAATTAGCATGATAATACACAAAATTGTGTAACTAGCCAAAGGAATGAACGAGATTCCAATTGCCATTGTTATTGTGTGTTTGTTTTTTTAAGCGATGAAGAGAAAACATTTGACATTTGCTTTTCAGTTTATTGACAGCACGCATAGTTTAAATTTGGAAATAACAAGCAAGAAGGAGGTGGTGCCTCTTGAAGAAAAAATTTGTTGTGACCCTTGTGTGCCATTGAGATGGCAAGTACAAGAAATTATGCATGACATGTCATAGAAAATAAATATTACAAAACCCAATTTCATACGAAACTGTCCAAAAAAGTATTTATGGCCATAAACAAGAGAGAATCACTATGAGACAATTTTACCGATTCTTTCCTATTTCCAATTTTTCTAATACAATGTTTAGAATGAAGTTGTGCATTTCATAGTGTTTGTATTTTGTTTAACAATATCATTTGTTGACAATTAGCAGATTCAAAATTTAGTTCGTTGGAGTAATCGATTGTATGGATCCATTCTCAGTAGGTATACATATATGTAAGTATAATTATATTAAAAAGAAACACTAAGGTTCCTTTTATGGTAATCCGTTTGAACAACTACAAATACTGTTACTGGTGATACAACATGTGAAATCGGGTGTGGTATAGTGGTAGCATTCCAGACTGTCACTCTGGCGACCCGGGTTCAATTCCCGGCACTCGAGATTAATTTTTGACTCCATCTCCTATATTTGACATTTAATTTTATCATTATATGATAAATTATATGTAATCTAGCTAAGATTCAATTTTCAAAGTTTCATTTCTTAAAACCATAGAGAAAATAATCAATGATTGGGCACTTTCATTTTAAAAAATTTCTCAGGCATTTCGATTGAAATTTGTAACAAAAAAGTTTGTAAATAATAAATGTATCAACATACTCCAAAAGCACTCATTGATTGGGAAATAGAAAAAAAGACAACTGAGCTAGTGTACCCACTTCACAGCAATCGAATACCCTAACCCATAAGTTGCCTTTTGCTGATACCTTTGGTTGTTGGATTGCAGTGTGATTGCTATGGAATGATGAATGTTGATCTCTCTATGTATTCAATTAATTTAAAATCTATTAATAATTGTGGTTAAACTTTTTATAAGCTTTGAAGCATTAATTATTCACAAGTTTATTGAACTTTCAAATTGTTCTGAAAATCGACATCTAAAAAGTTGAATTTAAATAGACTACAGCACCACAGGTTCCCAAGTTGTCTCCAACCTCAGTACTGATGTGGCTCGACGATGCTTAACTTCTCAAATCGGACGGGATGAGGTGCATTCATCGTGATATGGCCGTAGCCATTCAGTTCATCATCTTCCATTGTGTCCATTAACATGATAGCATTGGCACGACGAATCTTTTCCAAATATAACGAGTCACGATTAATAGCAAAGGTAAATCAATGCAATGAATATAAAGAATATGGAACTTCTTTGCAAAACTTAATGCTACTTAGTAATACTTAAAGTGGTTAACCTATTAAGCTCTGTAATCGATCCACGACCAACTCAATACAAACTTTCAGTAATTAAGTTATTAACAATTTAGTAACATTAATTTTTGGATATTCTTTTAGGTTTCATTGGACGGGAAGCCTGCCAGGAATATGACGACAATCCCGCTACAGTCTTTGACTGTATGAACAGTGAAGGCAACGAAGACAGAATCTTGTTGGTTCAGGTTTTGTTTGAAGATATTGATTAGGTTGATCACCCTTCTATAAATTGAATATTTAACTCCTGAATTGATGGATGCAAGTTTTGGTTTCTCATTTTCTATTTTCTGATCAAATCGAAATTGAAACTTCAAACATCATATAACATGCTTTCTTTCCTTAGTTATGATTCCAATAATAAATCTCTTTGAATTTATGTTTATCAAAAAACTTGTCCTTCACAACATAATTAAATTTAGACAAATTAGAGTGTATTCTTTGGGAGAATGTGTTCTCGAATGTAATTGATATGATCATGAAGCAACTCAACCATTCCTTCAGAGCTATATAATTCTTCTTCTGTTGGTGAATCGGCTGAGGGTGATTTGATTCGTCCATCTCTGGGATTGATAAATTGTTTTTGGAGATATTTATGAAATTCCTTAGCAGCAAAACGTGCAATTCCTGATAAGAGTTTCTTTGGAACTTTTCCTTTCAAATCCATAAAATCAAACATGTAGTATCTCAAAGTGTCATTAGTCTTTTTCTCTACAATTATTGCTGAGAAGAGTGAAACTCTGATAAATTCCTTAGAGATTGGAGCATCTTGATGAGTGCATGGTTTCTGAATTATGGAATATCGATCAAAATCATCAGTTTCTGGATTGTAAAGATCTGGTATAACTGTCTTGGCTAGTACTAGGTCTCTTTTAGATATTGGAAAGTGAGTCTGTTGTAATAATTCAATTAATTATTATTTGAGAATTGAAAAGAATACATACATCGAGTTCCGAGTAAATTATTGAATTAGGATAATCCACACCATTCTCTGGATTAATTTTGATATAGTCCAATTGTAATTTCCTCTTTTGGAGAGCACTCATTTTCTTTTCGAAATGTTGTGAAAAAATCAAATTAAATAATTCCTTGTGATTTCCCTTAGCGAGACCAGTGAAACAAATTAAAGGAAGAGCTCCATCTGATGGGTTCAGATAATAATTATGAGCACTGGTCAATGTTTTCATACCTGTCTTTTCTTCAACTACTTTCCATCTACTACTATCATTCAATGAAGAAATCAATTCATTCACAATATCATAATCCTTTGATGAAATGTAGACAGAATGTGGATCAACAAGAGGTCTATCATTATCTGCAATAGTTGAAGGTTTGTTTTCTACCACTGACATGTCTTCCAAAGAGCCGGATTCAGTCAATTCATGTGATAGACCACTATCTGACCTTTCCATTGCCTTTTTCGATCCCAACAAGTCTAACAATGTTGCTGGTGAGCCCTTGAATTGTGATTTTCTAGCTTCCTTCTTTAAATATTTTACAAATTGTTCAGAATCGATAAATCTTGGAAAATTATCTTGTTTCAATTCGGAAAAGATGACATTCTGAGCTTTTTGGAACAAGTCAGTTGGACATTCCATTAATTCAGCAGATTTCCCTTCATTTAGCTCCTGAATCACCTTCCAATTCTTTAGAATATCATTTCTAATAGTCATTGACAAGTTTAATTCATGTTTGGCACTCACAACAATAAAAGTATTCATAATTTCCACAGCCATATCAAATCTATTCTTGTCCAATCTTGTTTTTTGATACTTTTCAACCATTTCATAAAACATGAAAGGATCTTCATTCAAATTATCCTTTAAAAACTTTCGGAAACAATCACGAGCACTTTCATGATCAAAAACTGCTTCAATATTAAATTTATAATTTTGTTTTAGACTTTCCAATTCGTGTTCTTGTTGTTTGTGATGATGATGAATGGCCAACATTTTCCAACAATTATTTTACACTTTCACCTAGTAGTTTGTTTCAACCAATTAGAATTTCTAATTAAAAATTTTTTATCAGAAAGTGATGTTCACAAGGTTGTATCAATAAGTATTGATGTTATTTTTTTTCTTATTGTAATAAATTCATAATCAACTTGCTAAATTTGATGAAATTAAATATCTGAGAATCTTCTTTCCTATTTGAAACCTTATCAATTTTTCCATTCTAGAAGAATAAATTTCATGTTGTAGAAAATATCGATTTCCAACTCGCATTGTTGTTGTAAAATATTCCAACTAGAAAATACTCTCTTCAACTTTAAAATATTGTTGGTGGTGGTTTGTTTTGGTGATTTGATGTCTAGTGATGGACTAACCAACTACCCGAACAGTAAAAGTAGTGGCCAACATCATTTTTGATGGTAAGTGGGGATTCATCAGCGCGGTTGACTAAAGCTAAAACCCATCGCTCCATTTTTGGCTCCACTATAAATAGAGGGAGAACACACCGCGACAAGGGTCAAAAAAAATACAACATTTTACGCTCTTGTTGGCTGTAGCAAAAATTCTCCATTTTGAAGAATATTTATTTGTGTTCAACGATCAACAACAACAAACGTTTTTTGGAAAAGTTTTTCTGTAGTAGTTGTGTTGGTAATAGTTATTATTACTACAGTTTTCCATCATCATCAAGAACGTTGAATTGTACTTTCACATTAGTTTCACAAATTGTTGGGATCTTCCTACAATAAGAAAATTTAATTAGAACATCATTTTGTATACTATTACTTTGTAATGAATAGTGGATATCCTCCTAATGGCCCTCCACCTGGTCCAATTAATGCCAGATTGGATATGGAGAATGAAAAAATTTGGATGAGGTTAGGTAAGTATTACATATTCTAATGATAATGTTGGATTACTGTCTGCTTTATTATTCAACAACAAAATTGTGTGTTGCTAATAATTATGAATGGCCAAATTCCCAATGACGTGTCAAATATTGATGCTTCCCTTTCTGCTAAATTGTCCCGCATTTTTACGGTACTATGGCCCATCTCGATTTTTAACATAATATTGTTACCTTTTAATTTCATCAACATTGTATTGCATTATCATCTTTATTGCAACAATAACAACATCATCAAATGATATACACAACTCACGACACATCATGATATGCGAACAATAACATTGTGTGTATACTTTTATAATAGGTAAACTTGCCGAGTCTATGAATGAAGCCGATAAAGCCATTCACTATTATGAGAGAATCTTACGTTATAATCAATATCATGTTCAAGCTCTGACGAGTATTGCCTCAATTTATAGAATGAAGGATCCTCCAGATTTCCAAAAAGCAGTCGAATATTATCACACTGCCCTTCAAACCGAAGATAACAATACAGAAATCTGGGGTAATCTGGGACATTGTTTTTTAATGATGGACGATCTTACTAAAGCTTACACTGCCTATCATCAAGCCATCTACAATGCTAAATTACAAAATAGAACAAAACAAGATCCACATTTATGGTACGGAATTGGTATCCTCTATGAAAGATACAATAGTTTGGACAATGCCGAAGAAGCTTTTAGAAGTGTATTGAAAATGGATGCACAATTCGAAAAAATCAATGAAATCTACTTCCGTCTAGGTATTATATACAAACAACAAAAGAAGTATGAACAAAGCTTGGAATGTTTTGGAATAATTCGTAAAAATCCACCACCACCATTGACGGAAGCAGATATTTGGTTCCAAATCGGTCACGTTTACGAATTAAAGAAGGATTTCCAAGAAGCAAAGAATTCATACGAAAAGGTACTCAAATTCAATCCAAACCACAGTAAGGTTCTTCAACAATTGGGATGGCTTTATCATCAAAATACTGAATTCCAAAATTTAGAAACAGCCATCACTTATTTACAACAATCTATTGATGCTGATCCATCAAGTGGACAAACATGGTATTTATTAGGACGTTGCTTTATGGCACAAAAGAGATATCGTTATGCATACAATGCCTACCAACAAGCTGTTTTCAGAGATGGAAAGAATCCAACTTTCTGGTGCTCAATTGGTGTCTTGTATTATCAAATTAATCAATATAGGGATGCTTTGGATGCATATAGTAGAGCTATTAGATTGAATCCATTTTTGAGTGAAGTTTGGTATGATTTGGGTACTCTGTACGAATCATGTTCACAAATTCCAGATGCTTTGGACGCTTATCAACGTGCAGCTGATTTGGATCAAAATAATGAGCACATTCAACAACGTTTAATGTTCCTTAAGAATATGGATAGAGGTAATCCAGAAGAACCAAAGAATTTGACTGCTGTTGAACCACCAACTGCTGGTCCTCAATCAGGATTCCAATCAGGCATATTCCCTGGTCCTCAATCAGCTGGTAATACTCAACCAAATCCAAATATTCAATCATTGGGCCTTCCAAATCCTCCTGGTAATTATCCTCCACCAAATCCAGCATCACAAGCTCCACCATATCATTCTGTTGATCGTTATCCAAAATTGGAACCTCCAACAAATTTACCACCTCAGAATGGTCCACAAAACAATTTGAATGGTTATGGACAACCACCAATGGAACAACACTATTTGCCTCCACCTCAAGAAAGACTTCAAGAAAGACTCCAAGAAAGGCAACCACAAGGAGGTTCAGCAAGTTCTTACAATGGTCCTACTAGCACTGGGGGTGGCTCAAGTTATTCACATCCACCACCACTCAATAATCCACCACCAGCAAGTACAGCCAATGTGAATCCTCCTTCATTCTCTCAACAACAACAACAACCATTAGGAGGTTCTCAATCCACTCCTGTTGGTATTTCACAACCTTCTCAAGGTCCTAAAGAAGTTCTTTCACCATATCCAACATCTAATAATGTTACTTTCCCTCCACATAATTCACCACCTCAACAACAAGCCTATCAACAACCTCCACCAACAACTAGTGCCACTAATGGAACAACTCAACCACCTTCAAATCAACCACCTTATGGAAATGCACCAAGTAATCCTCCACCATCATCACAAGTAGTTGGAGCTTCTCCACAAGTGACACAGCCACCTTACTATCCAGTTTCACAACCTCCAATGCAACAAGGTCCTCCACCTCAACCTCAACAACCTACCACTACTGTTCCACCAAGTGGTATGAGCACCAATTTAGGAGAAGTGTCACCAATGAAGAGAAGATATAGTCCTATCCCACAAAGTGATTTGCAAAGTGATCCAAAGAAGCTGAAACCAACACCAAAGGGAGGTGATAGTGATGATGACGATGATGATGAACAAGATCAAATGGTCATACACGAACCAGAGGAAGAACCACAATCCACTGCTAGAAATATTGTTGGCACAACGACAGATAATCATGCCAATGATTCTGAACCAACAGTCAATAAGGCAAAGAGTAGATTTGTAAGACCAAAGAAGGCCTCTGATAGTCAAGAAGAGGTTAAAAAGGATTAAATTGTTTCACATTATTATTATGTTATAATTGTTTACAATTTTTCAATCTAAAAAATGTCTTTAAGGAGTCGAAGTACAAGTCGTGTTAATCTTTCCGATTTCCTCCCTCCTACAAATAATAATAATACATCATCAGGGGATCATGTTATTCCTTCAACAACAAGTAATGTTGTTACCAATCAGTCCTCTTCGGAAATAATATTTTCATCACCATCAATATCTTCATCATCGCTATCAGCATTGGAATCAAACTCCAACTCCTCTGTTCCATCCTTATTGTTATCATCACTGGGAAATAAACGATCATCACTAACACTTCTACAGGGACTTAATTCTCCCAATCGAAAGAAATCAAATCCCTTCCAAGTAGCACCACCATCATTGAATAATTCTTCATCATCAAATTCTATAAATTCCAATGATTTATCATCTAATTTAATGAATAATAGTGGTAATCTATCACCTAGAACACCTCCTAGAAAGATTTCAAAGCCTAAAGTTAGTCGAGTGAATAGTTTATTCAAATATTTACAAGGAGAATTGGATGTAAATAAGAATTGGACACAATCTGCAATGAATAATTCAAAGAGTACGGAAAGGATGGCAATAATTGATTCGGAATCTAATGTAATGATTAAAAGCAATTCGAAAACAATATTGAATGGAGGAGGAAATTCAAATAATGTATTATCATCATCAACAATGGGAAATGTATCAAAGGATAGACCCATTCCAACTAAAACAGAAGAAGAAATAAGGAATAGTATTTACAATTTCATTAATGTTCCTTGGAATTTGGAAAAGTACTTCTTTTTTGGATTTTCAATATGTTTGGATAGTTTATTGTTTCATTTTACGTTTTTTCCATTGAGAATGTTGTTTTCTCTGTTTGGATTATTGAGAGGGAAACCAATTGGACAAACTAATATTTGTGAATTTTTGAAAACATTCTCAATTATCATTAATGTAATTGTAATTTATTATACGACTGATTATTCACTACTGTATCATGTTATTAGAGGGGAGACTGTACTGAAATTGTTCATGTTTCATGGTATTTTGGAGGTTTTAGATAGGTTGTGTTCGTCATTTGAGCAGAATTCACAAACTTCAATGTACTTTTCAGCTACTGATCCAAATTTTTCTATTACTATTGGCCCTGAGAGGAATAAGCTTATATTTACAGCTATTTTCTCTTTTATTGTACATACATTTGTTTTATGTAGGTTTGAATTATTACAAATTAATATATTAATCTCTAACAAGATATTCACACCGTAATTGCTCTATTGAGAATTGTAACTTTAAATATTGCCCTCAACTCGAGAAATCAATCTCTATTGACCCTTTTAATATCCACTAATTTTGTGGAAATTAAGGCAAATATTTTCAAGAAATCAGTAAGAGAGGCATTATTCCAATTGTCTTGTAATGGTATGTTACAACTACTCTATTAAAATTTCTTAATTTAAATATAGATATTGTGGAAAGATTTGAGATTGTAATATTTAGTATTGTAATTTTCTTTCAAAACTCTTTATCGAGTGGCGATTATAGAATTGAGGAATTTTTGTACATTATTTTGTATATGATTTCTTCAGAGATGGCAGTTGACTCTATTAAGCATTCATTTATTTGTAAATTTAATGACATTCAATCGAACACTTATCAATCATACAAGGTCAAATTAGCTTTTGATCTTTCAACAGTCAATAATGCTAGTGTAAGTTTAATTACTTTACTGATTGAATTTAATTATTCAAGTCATTTCTTGATAATGCAAACACAACTTCGAGGAGGGTTGGATTTGTAGATGGTCCAATCATTAGTCTCATTCTCAGATTGATAATTATTTCAGTAGAGAGATCTTGGCGTTTACAGAGTGGATCAACTTTCATTTCTGCCTTGTTAGTCTTTTTAACTTATTGTTGTCTATTCTTATTCAAAGTGTTGATAGGCATTATCCTCTTTGGTCATGCTTCGAAGATTAGGCAGGAGGAGTCAGAGAAATAAATAATTTATCGTTTTTGCTTTTTGTTTTGGTCATAGTCATTGAATCTTCTCTCTGACTTGTGGTCATCATTGTACTTTCTCTTATTATCAGAGTCCAATCTTCTGTCATCTCTGTGGTCTCTGTTGTCTCTTCTATCATCTCTGTAATCCCTTCTATCATCCCTTCTGTAATCTCTTCTATCATCCCTATAGTCTCTATGATAATCATCTCTATAACTTCTATTGTGATGACTTGACGATTCAGATTTATGGGAATTCCTATGTTCTCTTCCATAATGATCATCGTTGTAATCTCTATTATCCCTTCTATTATCATGGTGACGATCATTTCTTTCCTTGTCATTTCCATGTCGTTGTGGTGATGTTTCGGCCTGCTTTTTTTCCTTCTCATTCTGAGCCCACAGATGGGCAATGGATTGAGAAAAGTCGACGTGAATCTTGTGATCATCAATGACTAATCCTTCAGATTTGAGGAAGGCTCGCTCACAGGATTCAGCATCTTCAAATTCAATGAATGCATAAGTTTTGCTCTTTCCAGTCTTTCTGTTTTTAACAATTTCACATTTTACAATATTACCGTATTGTAAAAAGATTGTTCGAAGACTCTTCTCTGAGGTGATTGGATTGAGTCTACAAACAAAGAGAACACTATCTGGTGGCTTGACGTCAGCATCTGGTAAATCTCCTATCATTTCTAATACAATAGCCTTTGATTTAGCCTCTCTTTCCTTCTTTGCTTCATATTCTTCTTTGGAGAGACGCTTATTTTCAGTTGGTTTCTCCTCTAGTGTGAGTTTTTCTTTAGATATTTCAATAATTTCATCATCTCTAATAGGAAGAGGACTGCTAGGTGGAATTAAAAGACTGACACCATCCAAAAACTCTTCAAATTGTTTCCTAAAAGATTCTTCCTCCTCAAATGGATCAAAGAGAATTTGTGTATGTCTTATTCTAACAGTTTGAATTGGAATTTCCATATCATTCTTCTTTTCCGTATATAATCTATCAATTGCTTTAATAACTTCCATTCCTTCTTCTACTCTTCCAAAAATTGTATGTTTTCCATCCAAATAATCCAAATGTCTGCCACTAGTAGTGACATAAAATTGACTAGCATTGGTATTTGGTTTTCCATCCTTATTGGCCATACAAAGTAAGCCTTCCATATTATGTTTCTTTAGTAAATTAATTTCATCATTAAAGTAAATGTTTTCCGTGAGTGGTTTTTTCAACACCTTTTCATGTTTATATTTTTCAATGAGATGAAAGATGGAATGTCCTCCCTTTCCTACATTTTCATCATTGTTATTGGATGATGGATCACCTGTTTGAAACCAAGCATTCTTTTCAATATTAAATATTTTACAATTATTATAGTATTTAATTTTACAGAGGGAGAGGAAATTAAAACAAGTAAATGGACATTCTTCAATCCACAAATCAACTACAAAATCACCTAGTGATGTACTAATCAATACACTCATTTTTTTAAATTATATATTTATTATTCTTTTTTAATAATTAAATAACCTGTTCAACAATATTTATTAAATAATAATTGCATTCCGTGATGATGTTTGAGAAAAGGAGAAGAGAATTAAAAAATGACAAGAATTGGAAAACGATTATTTTATCTATTCAGACATAAACATGAGGTTTATGCAAGTTTGTTTGAAGATCAGAGTGTGAGAAGACTTCGGAATAGACATGAAAATAGATTTCTCTATCAGGGGTTCATTCCATCCATGTTATTGACATGGAGTGTGGCAATATTTGTTGCACTTTGGGAACGATACAAGATTGAACAAAAGTGGGATGCTTCGCCAGGTGCCTTCCCAACAATAGATTATCCCGAATTTTATACACCCTACGCTAGAGATGAAACCAAACATTTATTCTTCCCTGGTGGATTGAATGAAGAGGATTTAATGATTTCTTTAGAATTCAATAGAGAACAATTAAAGAATTTACAAGATGTTCAAAAGGAAAAGGTTGCAACATTGGAAAAGTTTAAACAGAATAGAGAAACTGCTTAGGTTTATTTTCGTTCCATTTCTTCAATTTTTCTTCTTAAAATAGCTTCTTGCTCTTTTAGTTTGATGATGATATTTTGTTGATGTTGGATGGTTTGAAGCAAGTCATTTTCAGTGAGTTTTTGTTGGGTAAAAAGTGGATGTTGTAAAAGTTGATAAGCTGTAGGTCTACAAGTTGGTTGAATATTAAGCATGGCAAGTAATAAATTCTTGAAAGAGTCAGTAAAATGATTTGGGAAATCTTTCAGTATACCATTTCTAATATCATGCCATTCATTTCCATTGTTTGGTAATGGTCTACCAATTGCACACTCGTATATTGTTGCACCAAGAGAGAAAATATCAGCTTTCGTCAAGTCAGTGTTCACATTTTCTTCAGTACTTAATAATTCTTTTGCAAGATATCTCGAGTCACCTTCCATGACATCCTTTAAAGTTTCTAAAGAGCTTGAGGCAAGTCCCAAATCACCAATCTTGTATCGAGGTTTATCATCATCTGCTGATGTTAGATAGATATTGTCTGGCTTCAAGTCAAGATGTACAATGTTTTGGGCATGCATTTGCATCAAGCCAGATGCAAGTTGTCTCGTAAGGTCTATCAATTGAGATTCGTTAAATATTTGTTTGCCAATTCTCTTAGCAAGAGAACCACCCTCACATAATTCGGTTTGCAAAAATAAACTAAATTGAGGAAGTTTACCTTCAATCCAACATGAGTAATATCTTACAAGGTATGGGTTATCTACAAGGGTGGCAAGAGCTTGAACTTCTTTCAAGATCTTATCTAGATCCTTCTTTCCTTTAATCTTTCTCTTCATGGATTTAATAGCATACGTAATACCATCGAATCTATTCTTTGCCTTGGTAACTCTACCAAAACATCCATCGCCTAGAACTCCAGTCTCTTCGAAATCTTCCAAATAACGAGAAAAGTACACTTCAAAGATTGGGTCAACTTCACTAAGGTTATTCACATCACTAATATTAAGAGCCATGTCACTTTGTCTCTTCTTTCTAGCTGACTTTTTACATGAGGCAATCTTTCCCTGTAAATATGATGATGTATTCTTATCATCTGTAATGGAAAAGTAATCGTCTTCAGTTTTTGTCTTTTTAAAGTTTCTTTCAGGGGAGAATGGATTTTCATGAACATCTTCATTGGCAGTGAGTCTACCAGGAATGAGTTGTACATTGAGGGCATTTGGAGATGTTTGGGAAAGGGTTGCTCTAGGTGGAGTTGAAGCTTGCATTTGACTTGACATGTCTCCAAAATCTTCCATTGAAGCATTATCATCATCGCTAATCATATCATCAGAGCAATCAATGACAGCTTCATCAAAATCAGTTTGGAAAATTTCAGTTTCAAAAGGGTTACCAGGAGAATCTAGGGTAGATTGGGAGAGATTTGAGAAAAAGTTACCCTTTGAATTATTAGATGATTGGAATAATACAGGGGATGGTGGAGTCATTTCAATTTGAGGAGTTTCCACAATACTCTTAGTAAGACTTGGACTAGCAAACCAATTAGAAGACATTGGTTCACTACTATTTGTGTATTTTGGTTTGATTGTACTAGGTGGACACATTCCAGGGGAATTGAAATCTCCAGAAATATCCATAAATGTTGTTCCTGCTGTTTTCTTATTTGGTGGTGGGAAAACCTTTCTATCAGCCTCTGAAAGGTCAGGAAAATCAAAGTTAGGAGTACCACCAAGAAGAGATGAAGGTTTACTTGAGGTACTGCTCTTAGTGGTGACAGGACTTCTGATAGCATCGAATGGTCTCTTCTTACAGATACCAGGTGGTGTTAATTCTTCTTCAATTTCATCATCACTTGTGCTTTGTTGAACGAGAGAGAAACTAGGTCTTTTTGGTTTTTGTTTGTTACCAAGTTTGATTTGAGAAAAGTCACGATGTGGTGGTAGATTTGGTTGTACAGGCATGAGAGGAGATCTTGGTTTTGTTGTTGATCCAAGAACTTGGAAACGGTTTGGTCTAGCTTTGATTGAGATTGGAGACTTGATCACAAACTTATTTTCATCATTATCACTTTCTTCACTCTCCGAGTCAAAGAGTGGTGATTTTAAAGAAGAAAGTGTCTTTGATGATGATGGCTTAAGAGTTGCTGTTGCAGGAGTTTTTGTTGGAGTTGGAGGACAGAGTTTTGGTGTTGCAAAAATGTTTTCATTAAAGGAGAAACGACCTCCAGCCTCTGTTGGTGTACAAGGTGATTGTTCTCCATTACCAACTGCCGATGGAGGCTCTTGTGAGTCTGACGTCTCATCGAGCGCATCGAACAATTGTTTAGTAAATGGCTGAATAAACACTTTTTTGCTCTTCATCATCTTTTTCTTGTTGATGGTTGTATAATTACTAAAACTAACGACCAAAATACTATAGTGTTTGGTGGTGCTGATGAAAGTTTAGCTGCTGGCTCAGACCGTTGACTTCGTGTGAATGTTGGAAGCTTGTGCTGGCTTGGTCTAGAAGGGAAGGGCGCAGCAGGTATCTAGACAATTTTTTCTTGTTTTTTGTCTAAAAATTTGGGCGCGATTTGTTAAAAGGCGGGAAAAAACCGTTTTCAATTCACAACAATTTAACAGTTAATTTACCACCTGTCAATATTGACATTTACAACTGTTGATTGTGTTGGGACTATTACATCGAAAAATTGCTCAATGGAAAAAACAAGAACAATTTTGTTAAAAGACAATCATTCAATGTCTGTACAGATTCACAGACATTTTAGTATGTTGTGGATGAACTCATTACAATATCAATGGTTCAACAATTAAAAAAAAAATGCAACAAGCCAGACAGAAAGTGTATGCTGCAGCTTCCAATAAGAATTTCAAAGCCTTCAGTGATGCAATAATTGGTGTCACTTTTGAAAACTCAGATTGTTACAGTAAGTGAAAAACAAAATCCTATAATGATTGGAAGTTTTCTTTTTCTTTGAAAAGACTCCCCGGATATTGAAGAAATTATGGAAACAGTATTGGATTGGAAATCGAATAGATTGGAGGCGATGGAATTAATGTTTCAACATAAGGCCGATCCTAATGAAAGTTGTTCATCAACTAATTTTACATCATTTTTTCAAAGGGTAGTTGCTGAGGAAGACATGCCAATGATACGACTATTTCTCGAATATGGAGCTGATCCAAATATTTCAATTGGAATTTTAGTAAAAGGAACACGTCATATGAGAAGTAGACATTTATATAATCCATACTTGTATATGTGCGTCTCTAATCAGAATTTGAAAGTATTTAATTGTTTATTGGAATATGGAGCTAATCCTAATATTTTGGGATCTGGAAGAGTTGAATTATCTGAAGAGTATCCTTTGAAAGTTAAGGAGCTGCCTATTCATGAGGCATGTAATTTACACCAGCATCATAGAAATACAACAACACAAATGATCAAGGCACTAATCAATTATGGAACTGACATCAATTATTATGGTTATTCTCGTATGAGAAGTAATGGATTTGATAGAAATAACGAAACTAATATTGAAATTGAATACACTCCTCTTCACATTGCTATCAATTCCAAGGATGAAGAATTGTATTATTTCCTTCTTTCCAATGGAGCTTTATCATCGATACCTTTCAAAAGAGATGGAAATGAAATATCTACAAATGATTTAATGAGGGAAAATCATGTTAATATGTGGGATTTGATATTTGAATGGCATCCTAATGTACATAGATTCCTGACGCCTTCCTTAAAAAAAACAATCCAAACACTGACTATGTGTGTTTTCAAGAGTGAATGTAACCTCAATATGGATGTATTGTCTATTATTTATACCTTTATTTGTTTGGAAGATTTTTACGAAAGAGACCTTCCATTCAGGAGGGCACGAGAGAAGAAGAGAGAAAGTTTATTTTAAATATAATATTATTAAAAATTAAAAAAATCTTCTGCAATAGATTAAATTTCCAAAAATGGCACAACCCTCCAAATTTGAAATTTAAATTTAAATTACAAAATAAAAAACTAATCAAAAAAAATGATAGTACAAGACAACCTCATCTCCATCTTCCAGTTTCTTGACTGGAGTCATATCACAAACTCCCTCGTCTGTTCGGAATGGTTTCAGGCGTGTAATAGTGATAATTTATGGGAATATTACTTTCGCTTAATGGCTGGTCCATCATGGAAATGTCTACTCTCAGAATTTAAATCTAAATATATTTACTCAAGTGATGGGGGTACTGAGAGTGGTTCTATCTATAAGAAATTGATTAGGGATGAATTATCAAATTTAATAGAAATTAAACAGAGCATTACGAATCAAAGACCTATCTCAATTTCTGTTCAAAATAATGTAGACACGAATATTTCTTCATTGTTTGATGAGAGAATATTAAAACAATTTATTGGTTTTGTGATGGGAAGAATTAGAGTTAAAGAAATTTATTACTGTAACTTGTCATATAGTGACGAATTGGTTCAATTGTTTGATTCGTATGCATTCTCAGAGTTGGATTTTGATTCATTTGAAATTAAATTAGTTTTTGAAATAATTGGAGTAGGAGAATATGTTATGAGAAGAAATTTCTCATTCGATATGGACTTTCTGGGATATAGCAGATATGTAAAGAACTTTTTCATTTACATTTCAACATTGCAAGATGATTTGAAAAATTTCCAATCCAATGAGATTTTCAATGTAAACGAGGAAGAAAGAGAACTGCCTCTTCATGATGCTTTTATATTTAGAAAAAGAAAGGATCAATACGAAACAAGTGGAGAAGAATCATTACTAAAGGCATTGAACCAAATAGTTCCTGAATTGAAGCAATATGATTTGAGTCCTTTGAATTATATACCTATATGGTTAATGATTCTTGGAAAAGTTTTGTCGAATTTTGGATGTAATAGACCATTCAGAGAAGTATTCAAATGTTCCAACAATTATTCAAACCCACTAATGAGAAACATTCTTTCGCATAGACTTGAAAAGAAGGTTAACAAGCTCTTATCAGTTTTACAAAAACCAATATATCAAAAAGTAATTCAATTAATTGAGGAATACGATGTGGAGGAGAATAATACTGAAGCACTGAGTAATGCAATCACTGAGATGGAGTATAATTTACCAAAAAGAGTTAGGAAAATGGATTTGTACACTTTCCATAATTCATCAATGGGTAATAGAATTCAAAATGTTAAGAATTTCTTTCAGTTAATGAATTACGAAAGATTAATGGATTACTTTATCAAATATGCATGTGATCCTTGAAATGATTTTTGACTTTATGCAAATTGTAAAGGGTTATTGAAAAGTAATAATTCCAAATTGATCAAAAATGAAATAATTCAGGTAAATAGAATTCGTGCGAAACATATCGACACAACAAAAATGAACAAACTCCACAATTATACAATAACCATTTTGGAAAAACACAACATTGATTCTGAAAGATTGCAACACCTATAAATACCCTCTAAGAAAGATTGTGAAATGAAACAAAAACAAGAAAAAACAAGAAATCTCAAGATGAATAAGAACATTATTTGTTGTGTTGCAATTGCAATTATCGTCTCTTTGTGCTCGGCACTTGTTAGTGGCCAATATAACAATGCTTACAATAGTGCATATGGTTCTTATGGTGGTGCTGGTCAAAATTATGGTGTTTCAGGTGGTAGCTATAATCAATATGCTCAAAACACTCAAGCCTATTCAAATCAAATCAATGCCATCAATTATCAACCTTATGCAAGCTATGGATCTTATTACAGAGGACCAACCTCCTACGGAAATAATTACAACTCTGCATACTCAATGCCTTACTATGGTGGATATGGTGGTTATGGTATTCCATACTATGGTGGTTATGGTGGTTATCATCCATACAGATGGTGTTAAACATTATGCTGATCAAAATAATTGAAACTAGTGAGTATTCATCAATTGACCATTCCAACTGTGAGAAGCTTTGAACAATTTAGTGACCATTGTGACAAATAAATACCTCTTTATGACCTTAATTATTATATTGTATTCTCAAAAACTCCACGAAGCGGCATGGTAATGCTCACTATTTTGGTCAAGCAAACTTGCCTTTAGAGGCCGCTATCATATCACATCCCTTTAAATAAACAAAGAAAATGCCCCAAAGTCAACAACAGGGCCTCTCTCAACACACGATACGGCGTTCTTTTGAGACAACATCTTCCTATGCTGTGTATCCTGGCTCGCTATCGTCGACGATTGAGCTCTCCGAAATGAGAGGAATACAGTCATCATCTTCATCATCCCAAAATACTAATAATGGTCAACAACAGTATTATCATCATACAAGTATGATATCATCACCCAGTACATTGTTCAATCATAATGTTAATCATGGTGTTGAAAAACATGATTCTTCCACTTCAACTGCTTCTAACAATAATAGACTTTGTAACAATAATAACAATAACAACTACAATGGAATAATAGATGAATCAACATTTAATGAAATGACAGCAACCTCACAGAATAACATTATTACCTCGCGGAGTACAATAAGCTTGGCTCAACCTCCAGTGAATAGCCTGGTCGATGATAATCAAATCATCCTCAATCAACAACCAAAGGAGCAATCAATTGAGCCACCAGATAGTCATGGAACTGAAAATAAGACTGGCACATTACATAATCCTGAAGAATCATATCCTCTCCTCCACAAATGTGCAAAGGCTATTAAGAAACTCTTCTCCCTTATTCCCTCACTATTCACAGTGATGAATGTGCTCGTGTTGGTCTTTTTATTTCAGGCTGCCATATCAATAGGAACAACCTTTGGAGTTTTATTTAGTGCAGGAGAAACCGTAAGTAGTTATTCTTATCTTGATGAAAAATATTCACCATTGCATTATTTGATGCGGATATTATCGAAACTTTGTTATTTCACTTATCTTGTGAACTTTTCTAATTCTAAATACTTTTCTGAAATAATGGATAATCAATCATATTAAAATAGACGGCTAGACAAGTTGTCTTATTGCAACACTCTGTGGTCTATCAAAAATTATCGAATGAGGTTCATTACTTTGTTAATCCAGCAGGCTTTATTACTAAAACTCTGCATGGGGAATTGGTAGCTCTTGGAGTCAATCCTTATAATTTAACAAGATGGGCAAGGGTAATGTCAATGACTGGTTCATATACGGACCACTTGGATTATATTTACTTTGGAAGAGCTGATAATATGATAGTTCTTTACGCAAATAAGGGTACAGACAGATTTACACTGATACCTTGCATCCAAACAAATATTACAAACCCATCTGATCTCACAGACAAGACTTTCTGCAAAACATCACATTTGAGATATGAAATTGTGGATAATGTCATTCAAACATCAAGCTACAAGTTTCAGAATTTTTCATTCAATATTTTAGTTAGACCTTGGTTTAAGGCTATTACAGACAGTGTGAATACCACTAGTTTTGATTTTCCTCCATCCAAACAGTATACTGTGTGGAGTGACATTTTCAAATCCGAGTCAAGACTCTCAATTACTCAGTCATTGCTTGTGAGAGATCAAACAAGTGGAAAGTTTGTTGGTGTGGCTGGTATTCAGTACCTTACAAAATCTATTTCAGATTTTCTCAATTCAACCACTGAGCCCGGTAATACAGTGATTATTCTAGACAAGTCTAATCACGTGTTGGCAGCCTCCATTAATCACAAGGCTTCCAAAGTCTTAAATGAACCACAGTCCATTCAGACATTTCCACAAGACTTTAGTAATGAGACTATTTACTATGAAATTTTCAAGTTAATGCAAGCATATAACTTTTCCAATTTCTCCTCCGTTAATGGTGAATCAGATAGTAGTAGAGTACTTAGTGGTGATATTTCAGTGAACGGAAATGACTATTATTTCAGTGCTAACTCCTTTCTAATTCATGGCCTATTTGTAAAGGTCATTATTATTACTGATCACACTGGTTTCCTTACGTATATTATTAATACGAGCTTGATATCAGTAATCGTTCTAATCTTGTTGGTTAGTTTAGGAACTGTTGTACTGATTATCATTCTTAAAACCATCACCTATCCCCTACAGAGATTGAATAAGATTATGAATAATATTTTGAGATTGGATGGTACCAGAACTTTGGTGGTAGATACAACGAGTGTCTTTCATGACATTAGAAAGATGGAAAGCTCTGTGGAAAAGTTTAGAAAATCAATCTTTTACTTTTCCTTATTTTGTCCCGAATTGGTAGTCAAGTCAGTGTTGAAATCATCAGAGACAGAACCGATGTTCCCAATGAAAAAGCAACAAATGACTATGATGATTGTCGATTTGGAGGATGTTGGTGAAATTCAGTCAGTTGTTGGCTCTGAATACTATTGCCAAATTTTAAATTCTATCATTTCAGAAATAACCGGAGCTGTTCACGCCAATGATGGATTTGTTTTTGATTTGAGTGTTGTTAACGGTGTCAAGTTGTATGCCTTGTGGAATGATAGTAGCCTTCCAGTGGAAAATCATGAACTGAAAGCTTGTGTTACTGGATACGAAGTTCAGCAAATACTTCAAGAAAAAATTGAGGTAATCAAACAATTTGAATGCAGAGGGTCAACTTTCTCATTCAAAATTGCTATATCCAGTGGTAAAATTGTTCTGGGATATACTGGCTCAACATCGAGCAGAATTAATTTTTCATGCTTTGGTGAAACTGTTGCTATTTGCAATTACATGATTTCAAGGTCGAAACCAAACATTGTAGTCATGTCTGAGGAAGTATATTTTAAGGTTAAGGATATGTTTTTGTGTTACTATCTAGCTACTCTACCATATAAGGAATCAGCTAGAACAAGGAATGAGAAAAATCCTGTTATTGATAGATTGAATATTTATTCGGTTGAAAAATGGATGAAGGAATCAAATTCATTTGAGCAACATATTGGTAACAAGTTGGGTGAATTACTTTTATTGAGAAACTCTTCAAATAATATTTCGTTTGAAAGTTTGATTGACAATTCTGTACATGCAAGAAGGCTTCTGACAGAAATTACTGACTTGGGTTTTGAGGGTCTTTGGAGAGAATAATTATGATAACTTGCAAAGTTAGAATTATTGATTATTAATTTATTGAAGTATTTTAAGTAAATCTGACAGGTCCTTCAAGAAAAAGTCAATTTGATATTGTGGATTACCTGTCAAGTTGATAAATTCGTTTGGATTACCGAAATTGAGTGCAGCCATATATCCATATCCCTTAGCACCTCTAGCATCGTACATTGAACCTCCAACATGAAGAATTTGATTTCTATTCAAACCTGAAATTTTTTCAACCATTCCATAGAATAATGGATCTGGTTTGAAAAGTCCACTATCACTAGAACCAATCACATAATCAAATTCAAAACCATTTTCAATTTTGAAGATTTGAGTGGCGTTTTGAAGAGTCAAACGATCTCCATTAGATAAGACAGCAAGTTTAAATCTTCTTTGTCCATTCGAATCTGTCATATTCCTCAATAAATTAAGAACTCTTCCTGTATTTGGCCATGGCTTCAATTCTGACCAAGTTGAATACAAGTCTTGCTTAATATTTGGTGGAATTCTATGTTCAAGATTCATTCTTTTCAAATTAAAATCCAATCCAGTTTGTAACATTAATTGGAAAATATTGGAATTTTCAAATTTCATATTCGGATCCCTGGCCAATGAATTATACTCCCAAAATGTCCCTGCATAGTGATTCAACCACTCTTCTGCTAAATGTGTTGCTTCATCCTTGCTACAATACGGAGAAAGCACTCTGATAATGTTGTCAATAATAGAGGAACCGGTATCCATCAGGGCAGCGAATAAATCAAAACTAATGAGACGAATATTTTGTGTGTTGGTTGATGGTGTTGCTGGTTTTAGTATTGGAGCTGCAAGAGCTAGGCCAACACTTGAGAATAACACAATCAATACCAACAAGATGACAATAGAAAGTTGTTTCTTGTTATCACTCATTTTTTTAAAGATGGGAGTTTTAACTCCGAAAATTAAATGTTTAGGTATTCAAGTTAAGCGGCTAATTAGTGAATTATTGTAACTAAGATCTCTGTACTAAAACAAACAGTTTACAATTTACTACTCTTTTTAACCTTCTCTTCCTCCTCTTGATATTGAATTACTAAATCATCAATTTGTTTGAATTGCCATTGGAAATCAACAGGATAGAGAAATTGTCTCAGGTCAAACCTATTGTCTTCTGGACTGTAGGATTCGCAGTGATAGGATGGTGTGAGAGTGGTCATTTTGTGACGATTGATTGCATAGTATCTGTAGAAACGTTTAACCTTATCAGCAATTTGAAGAATACTCATCTTGTCTCTCCATTCATAAACTAGATTATTGAAACATTCAACAGGTCCATTTCCTATTTAAATAAAAATTCAATAAATCAATTAATAAAAATGTTAATAAACAATTCTTAATATTCACACAACACGTACCGTAGACCTTTCTTAAAATACCAAAACGAGAAAGTTCATCATAGGTCAAACCCATATCTTCTTCATCTGTTTGATGAGATTCGAGAGGTTGTAGTTCAGCTGTTGGTTTGGCTTGTAAAACTTCCTTTAGTGAAGGATAACCCAAATTGTCAGAGGCATACAAGAGGAATTTTTTCAAGTCAGTCTTTGAAATACTTCCAATAGGATTAATATCAGCAGAACTGCAGTCATATTTAGTGAAATATCCTCTCAAAGCTTCATCAACATTGGAAGAACCTAGAACAAGTAAATTCTTTGGTTTGAAATCTCTACTCCAATTCATTAATTGAGCAAAGTAATAACTGACAACCATTCTCAATCTGGCTTGAATATTCTGGAGAGCAATATTTTCTCCAGCACTTCCCTCAAATGATGGAGTTTTACCAGTAGTAGTGGTAAATAAATCCTTCATTGAATTAACAACTGTATCAATATCAATATCCATATGATGAGATCCAATTTCTGAAGCCAATTGTTTAGCTCTGTTTCTGGTTTCATTTGAACTATTCACTGTACCCATATAACAAGTAACGAAAATAATATTAGCAATTTCCTTTGGAGAGGATGGAATCCACTCATCTCCCTTTGAACAAATTCTTCTAATTTCCTTCAAGACAATTTTCTTATTGTATTCCTCCTCATATGAGTTAGCTTCCTCAATACAATCCTTATAAATCAATTGACACATTGATCCAACCTAGAAAAAAATTAAGCATAACATGATAAGTATTTGACAAAATATTTTAGATTCAGTAGAAAATAAAAGAAGCTTACAATAGTAGCGGTAGCACTAGAATCAGCTCCTCCAGATAATGGAAGGAAATATCCACCCTGGCTAGATCTTCTCAAATAATCGAACAAGTAACAAGCTGGACCTAGGGCAATTTCTTCATTGGTTGTGAAATACTTGACATCTACTGGGTGAGTTGGTTTCAAACTTTGAGAATAGTGTGAAATTTTGAGTGTGAAATCAATACGAACTCTAGGGAATTCTCTAGATTCAGAAGCTTGCACAGATCTACTGGCAATCTTATTTCTAAATGCTCTCACTTGATCTAAATCAACATTGGCACTTTTGATTTTAAATACTTGAAAAATCCAATCAAAACTTACGTCACAACTTCAACCTGTTTCAAGGAAAATTGAGAACCTTGAGCAAGAAGCACTCCATTACAACAAATCATTGCACAACCATCAAATAAAAGTCTTCCACCATCACAACCTAGTTGATTGGCATAAAGATATACTAAGCCGTTCTTAGCAGTTGCATTCTTGATTAAATCAATACGAGTATGCAATTTACGAAGAGAATGATGACTTCCAGATCCATTACTAATAATTTCCACACCATCCAGACCTAGATAAATATTAGGAGAGTTTGGGGTGAACAATTCTTCACAAGTTTCAACAGCCAAATCAGTATCATTCAATGAAATAATACAATCACCAATTGGAACGGTTCTCTGACCAGTCAATTCTCTCATAAAATCTGGGAGAACGAAATCTTCAATAGCAAATCTCTTTGTCCAAGCACTTTTTCAAATTTTAAAATCAAATATTAGATAAATATTCCAATTAGTTCAATAGCCATCAATCAAAAGACAAGTAAATCGAGGTCAACAATACGTATTGAAGGAAATAAAACCTACCAGAACCATCTAGTCTCTCTATAATTTCCATCGTTTGCCAAAAACAATTTTGGACGAATCAATACAATTTTTCTATTCAATAGAAATACTCTACAATTATATCTTACACTCTTATGCATTATTGGCATACCAATATCTACAAGAATATCATCAGTTAAATCGCTCTTCAACAATTCAGCCAAACATTCCATTGCTAAATTGAAATTTTGAAATTATCATCAATTCATCATAATATCAAAAATATTTAATACCACCTTCGGATCATGGAAATACTAATACAACAACATACAATGAGTATAGGTATCATTCTCAAGAAAGTGATCTTCACAACCATATCCACAAACTTCAAGTTCTGGGCCACACCTATAACGAGCTCCCTTTTCCTTTGAAATTTTAATACTTTCCTTGATTCTTTCCAAGTTCCCAGTAAAATCGAGAGACCACTGATCGAGGTTACAGGTTGCTAGGGTGACGAGATGCATTTTTTTTTGATTTTGCTATGAACTTGAGAGCTTCTTTTTGGGAATTAAGAGTACAAAAATGTTAATTGTTATATTTAGAACTTAATTTGAATAATTTCTTTTAAAATTGTATAGACTTTTCGATTTATGAATTTAATAAAAGTGAATAATAAAAAAATTTATTAAAAAACAATTAAAAAAATGAAAAAACTTCTTTCTCAAAGATTCTTTGTTTCTCGGAGAGGAAAATTAAATTGTCATCATTCATTGAATAGTCATCAATTTATTTCGGAACGATTTTTTGATGGATTATCATTGGATAAACGAAAATATTCGTCAATATTTCCAATTAATCTTTCTGAGGATCAAGTTAATTCGGAAGAAATAATTACATCATCATCATCACAAGAATTGGGAAGAAGATTTGAAGCACAAGTTGTTGAATACCTATCAGAGTATGATTTTAATTTGAGTGTAACAAAACGATCTCATGATCAGGGAATTGATTTTAAAGGTTTTTGGAATTTTCCCTTTCTAAAGCAAGTCAATCCTCATCCAATACCAATTCTAGGACAATGTAAAAGGGAGAAGGATGCTGTAGGAGTGAAATATATTCGAGAATTTGAAGGAGTACTTAGTCATTATCAATTACAAAAATCAGCCAATCAAAATGTAGTTGGCGTGTTTGTGAGTTATTCAGGTTTCAGTGAACATGCTGTTCGACAAGCCTTAGATTCCAAACAGCCAATCATTTTGGTTATTCTCACGACTGTTAATGAGAAATTGCTAATGACCTATTTTTGCATGAATCATATGACTCAAAAGATTATTCCAAAAGTTACAACTTCAATTGAGAGAGCTGTCGATGGAGACAATCAAATAATCTTCTCGGTGGATAATTGATTTTAATAATATTGAATTCCTTCATTCAATAATTGACTTATTGAATGTGCGAACTAAATTTAGAATCATATTTTCAAACATGGAGAGAACACAGTTCAAATATTTGAGAAATACGAAAAATTCCAGAAGGAAATTATCTATTAAAGCCCTTACTTTCTTTGGATAAACAAATCAACTGGACAATCCATCTTACTCATTCAACATTTCCATACAATATTCCAAATTTAAGAAAACCATTGACATCCACCATTTCTTATTGCCAGCAGCAACATTCTAACAATCTTTCGAGTATCCATGTACATTCTCAATTTGTCCATCTTTCCTATTCAAATATCTCATCAAAACTCTTGGATCGTATGTCTATTCGTAACAGCACTCTTCTTTCTCATCTTGAAAAAATGAGCACCAAAGCGGCAGTTCTCTTATCGACTGTAGCCGTGTTTGTATTACCTGAACAACTCCAGCAGCAACAACAACAACAACAGAATGGTGATTTGTTTGGGAGTGTTTTGAATGGATCGTCTTCTCGGATGAAGGTGGGATCTCCTCAACCTGTTTCAAATCAATTATTTATGAATAGTTTTAGCAGCCAACCTTCTACACCTGTTTCCTCTCCGATTGTTTCATCAGCATCTTCATCATTTTCTAGGAATAATAGCAGCAAGCCTTCATCTCCATCATTGTTGGGAAAGAGCTTTTCATCACCTGCCTTGAAGAAAACATCATTGGATTTTCAGAGACCAGAATCAACATCTGTGATGAATTATCAACAACATTTAAAATCGAATCAGAAGGAGAGTTTCAATCCGAAAAAGTTTGCATCTCCACAGGCAGATTTGGTCTATACCTTTCCTTCTGTACTATCACAGGATAAGATGGTAAATTTAAAATCCATGCCTCTCTTTTGTTTCTATTCTCAACATGAAAACAAGGAGAGTTATGTTGCAAGAGATTCAAAGATAGTAGTTCCACCAACAACATCACAATCATCACTCATGAATAATGTAAATAGAGATGAAATTGTTGTACAATTATTTCCATTTGTTACTACAGACTTTTTCAAGAATGAATGTTATTGTTTTTGTTTGAGAATTGATAATCAATTGGAAAAAGTGGCAATAGTATTTGAGAGTTCTTTGCCAATTTATGATTTATTGAAAGAGATGGTTCTTGAAATGTTTAATTGTGGAATTTTTGATATTTTTCTGAATAAGGGTTTTAGAGAAGAACAAATGAGAAATCAAAGCACAACACTTAACAATGGATCCACATTCCCAAATGATGACAAACTTCCCCTCAAAAAGGCAGCTTTTCAAAGAACAATAGATATGCTACTGAATAAGGTACCAATACCTGCACCCTCTAGAATTAGCTCTGTGAGTTTTAGACCCTTAAAGAAGAAATATTCACTTAGATTCCCAGATGTGGAGGAGTTACCTTTTTGTAATGTATGTTGTTTTCAAACATTTTCAATTTTAACAAGGTCAATCTGAAAAAAGATTTCCATATCTCAAACTATATTCCGAGTTTTATCTGAGGAGATGATTGTTGATTTGATTAATCTTATCCTTCTCGAAAAGAAAATCATTCTCGTTAGTGATAGTGTTGCTCTCATGACTTACTGTGCAGAAGCTCTTAGAATTCTATTATATCCTTTCCAATTTCCACTCATGTTTGCATTCATCCCACATTTGCCTGTACAACTTTTGGAAACCATTCTTTCACCCGTGCCATATATTGTGGGTGTTCATGGAAGTCTCAAGAGAGAACTCTTCTCAGTAATTGAACAACAAAATAGAATGTTTGAGCAAACAGCAAAAATTAGTAATGGAGAAACCGAGCATGATAAGAGTTTAATAGTTCTAGATATTGATAATTCCATGTTCTTATATGGAAAATCTCCAGAAAGAGAATTCAAGTTCCCAGAACCATACAGATTTCAATTAATTGAAAAACTTAAAATTATCCAAAAGCCATCCTTCAAAACAATGGACTTTTTACAAGGAGCTGCCTACACACAGAATGAACAAAATTCCTCTACTGACACCAAAATTCGGGAAGCCTTTACCTCACTCTATTGTAAATTACTCTCACCTTTAAATATTCACATTCTTACTCGTAAATGGGTAAAGAAAAACAAGAGAAACGAAAATGATTATATTGACAATATCAAGAAATATGTTACTGAAGAAGCAGAGGATATTGATATTCGTCTTAAAGAATTTCTCAGAAATTTGTTTAATAATCAGATATTTTCAGAGCTTCTCAATCACGGAATGGAGGAGCAATACTTTTACCAAGAGCTCTGCTTTTCGATATTCGTAAATAGAGAGATGGAACAATTGGTAAATTACAAAAACCTGATATTGCCAAGCGACTATTCTGGTACCAACACATTGCTCGACTTTGATGTTAATTTATTTGAAAACTCAATAGTACCTCAATCCAATCCAAATGATTCTCTTCTTTTATGGATAGAGAACAAAATAGATAATACCCACTCACTAGGTAATAATGAAATTTTATTGAACTATGTAAAATCTAGGCTTGTACTTATGAGAGCATTCATTTATGAGAGAAAGGAGCAATACATAAAATGCTTAGAAGATACCCTCGAATGTATTACTACCTGTATGGATGAAAGGCTCATAAAGAGGGAATGGTTTGAATCGATCATTCTCCGAATCCCAAAGAAGAACCTCTCACAATATATAGCCAAGATGAAAACTCAATACATTCAAACTCCTGAGGACAATTACAGATTAAGCTTTTTAGAAAAGATTATCATGGAAATGCACCAAAGTCATGTCACTGATGTGAAATCAATATTTGAACAATCCAAGACCATAGATGTTTCAATTAAGAGTGGAAGAAGAACATCCTTCCACGAATATTTGGATGAAGCTGGAGAAACTGATGCCTTCTCATTTGAAGAAAATAATGATACCCCTCTTGCTTCTTCTCTTCCTAATGAATCAATTATTTTACCAGACGATACTGAAGATGTTTCTCCAAGCTCACCACCAGAAAATGATGATATTGAAGGCCTACAAACTCCTCTCACCAAACGTAGATCATTATCGTTCACTGATGTCACAACCGATTCACCACTTCAATCACAAGTGCCATCCAGTAGGACTGCAAATATTAACACCAAGAATGGTTCTATTCTTTTATCGCTGCCCTATATTAACTTCTCCAGAATTGAACAACAACTCATACCAAAGAATATCGAATCTATCAACAAGGCATCAAGTCTAAGAAGGAGAAGTGCAAGCATATTTGTAAAGAAAAAGAAGGATGAGGAGGTTGCTTGTGTTAATATTTCAAAGGAAATGTTCTCAATGATTACATTCGAGAGTGGAATGTTCTTCTCCAAACAAGATGGAGACAGAGTGTATCAACAACTCGTTGAAATTCAACAAGACAAGTTGAACATTCCAGATACATTGCTCAACCCAGAAACACTCAAAAAATTCCTTTCATGGTTCAGAACTATTAATCAATTCAACCAATATTCCACTTTCAGACTGAGAAAAATCGAGTCTTTCTCTGAAGTTCCATCATCCTTATTGGCAGATCAAGAATCTCACAAACATGTCGTTCTTACCCAAAGCACTTTTTGTAAAGCCTCATTTTTCTTTTCCAAAATTTCATCATTGGACGATAGTGTGAGAAGTGATTCACTCATTCAAGTGGACGAAAATACCAAAACTGGAAGAATTTGCTTCTGCAATGATGGTTCAATTTATTTTGGTATTTCTAGATTGGAGCTTGTCCTTTCGGACATGTCACAAATTTTAAAGATTGATCACTATCCTCCACAAAACATGTTGAAACAACAACCAGATCTTTTACATTTAACCATAGAAGGTATTGTAAAGATAGTCATCAAGATGGACCAAGACAACTGTAGAGTTGTAGAATTCAAATTCCCAACAACAATACAAAGTTTGAAATGGTATAGTCACTTTTTAAGTTTGATGAATTTCAGTACCTCAATGACAATGAACCTTATTATGAGCAAAAAACAAAATGTGCAATCAGTCCCCACAAATCCAACAACAGTCTCAATATTTAGAAATATTACAATTGATCATGTTCTTTACATGATGAATAGCGCCTACCAATAAATTAATCACTCTCCTGTTTACGAGACGTCCATTTCAAAACTGAGTAAACTGTCATTGCTAACGAACATGTTCCAGAGTTGTACATTACCTTGGAGAATATTCCCTTAGTAAATCCTCTCCAACCTTCTCTTTTTAACAAATCAACCACAACTTGCCTCACAGAAGAGGTTCCAAATTTGTGTTGGTTCAAACTATCGCTCTCTGAAGAGGAAATGCCTGTTTGAATTCTCAATCTTATAATATCCCATGGATGGAAAATTAATGCTGATAAAAATCCAGTACAAGCTCCAGAGATTACAGAAGTCACAACCATCAAATCAAAATCTCTCTTAAATTGTGGAGCCAATTTATCTGACATGTTTTCTCTGAGAGCACTAAAAGTTCCCCAACAAAATGCACTCTCTGTAAAATACACATAGATTTAAATTGTCACGAATATTATTCATTCATATTAGAAAAATAAAGGCTGTTGAATCTTACCTGGTCCATATGTTGCTAATGTAGTAAGCATTCCTCTGTAAAATCCTCTTAATCCTTCCATTCTCCAAACTTCCTTGATAACACTCGATAATTTCACATGTTCATTTGGATGGGTCACATTTGAAATCATCATTCTTTGTGAGACCACATCAAAAGGAACCACAATAAAGTTTGAAAGCATCTCAGCCAATAATCCAGCTATCAACAGTTCACAATAATAAAGAAGAATGAAACATACCAACAGCTTGTCTTTGGAAGGTTGTTAAATGTCCGAAAATTCCCTCATCATTCCTCTTTGAAACCAAATATTGATTGATTAACTCCAATGAGCTCAAGTATGTGAATTGCACCATACATTTACCAGAGGCAGCTGTAAAATACCCTCTATAAAATCCTCTTATTCCCTGTTGTGAATAAATTCTCTTGGCAACTGTTGACATGGATTCATGAGCCTGTTTAATATTGTCAATATCATTAAATTCCAACCAAAATTATTATGTTATATATTATATTATAATTAATATTAAGCATATATTAAGTATTTTAATTCCGAATAATAATACATTACATGCAAATTTGCAACTTGATGGGCTCCAATTAAACTAATAGGAAAGAATATTGAACGTAAACCATAGGAAGCAACCACTCCAATAGAATAATACTTGGTCTTATCCAATTTATTCCAATGAGTTTCAATATCGGGATGATGTTCCCCTCCATTTGTTGTTGCTTCTACTGAATTATTAATAGTTTGAATAGATTTAATACTACCTCCCAAACCATCGCTGCTAATCATCTGAACGACTTGAGGAGTTGTTATTGTTGTTGATGATTTTCCAGAAGCATCGGAATTGTTGGCATTGTGTTCATTCATTTTTTAAAAAAAATATTTAAATATTCCATGCTAAAAACTGAATTTTAAAGAGAAATTGTTGATTTTTGAAAGATTTTGAATTGAATAAAGTAAATTTTAATAGATCATTGCAAATTTAACCACTCACGGTTTAGGAATCTATAATTTTTCTCGCAACTTGTTCATATAATTATTGAAAAAACATGTATTGGAATACTTGGATGCCCATTCCCTATCCATTCCAATCACTTGTAAAAAATTGAGAGTTCAATTTTCATAACCAAACCTTTCCTCAAATTGTTGATTTTTCATCTATTTGGTAACGCTCAAAGATTGGAAGGGTGTGACCCAATTTAAATCTCTCCTTCTTTATCGGAAATTATTGATAAAATGTAACTTGTTACCTTTTTATCACTTTTTAATGATACATGTGCATGCTAAAATATTATAACTTTAGTATTCGAAACATTATATTGAAAACATGAATACCATTCGAATCTTTTCAATGAGTACTGATAGTTGTTTCTTTTGACTTTCGGCTTTGAACATGTCATTGGTCCATCAAACAGCTTCGATGACTTGTCATCCGTGGTTATTCACGAAATGAAATTCACAACAAAAAAAAGTTAGTCATCCTTTGAGAGGTTCATTCGCTCTCTCTTATCGAAAGGTTTCGTATTGTAGAATAAAGAATAATATCATCATCATCAGCGTAATAGAATTTTCATTATAGTTTCTAATAGAATTCTACAAGGCCTTTCTGCTAGTTTCTAAAAAGAAGTTTTTAAAATACAAACTTCTAATCATCATAACCTACAACAATAACACGCGTTTTGTGTATCTTATTATCAACAATCATCTAAAATATTTATTCTATTCTTCTAGTAATCATATGTTATCCAAATTATCCTCCCTGATTTTTCGTGGAGTTTCTGCCACCAACTCTGAAGATCATCCCAACAATTCTCGCATCATGATGAACACCACAACCACAGCAACCAACAGCAGCAGCAATAACAATTCACCTCCATCATCAGTTAATAATGATTTCATTAGTGGTAGTGGCGATCAATCACCAAGTCATATCAGTTCTCACAATGGTAACAGTCCAATGATGGAACATTTCTATCAGCAACAACAACAGAATGGTAGCAACAATAATACTTCTTATTATAATAATAATAATAATGGAGGAGATCTCTCACCAACCATTCTTTCTCCATCAATTTCATCTTCAAGTATTCATAGCACGGCCAATGCAAGTAATACACCACTCTCTCCAAGGTTTAATTCAAACCAATTGAATAATTTGAGTCAATTTCAAGTATTGGAAAATGTTCAGTATGAAGAAAATATTGAACAAGTTGTGTTGGTGAATGATAAACCAATTCTTTCAATGATTCCACAGGATTTGTTGAAGGATATTTTCTCATTCTTGGATTTTAGTGAGAGATTTAGATTTATTAGAGTTGCTTCACAGAAATGGAATTCATTTATTATTGAAAGTGAAATGAGTTTACAATTGAACTTTACAAAGAGTATGCTCAGATTTGCAACACCTGGGGATGTGTTGGAATTTGTTAGGAAATTTCCAATACTTTCATCAATATCTGTATATGGAGATGCACATACTGATTTGAGAAGAAGATGTTTGAGAGAAATTCAATCGACATCTTCCTTTTTAAGATCTTTGAGTCTTTATGACTCGAGTGAATCAGAGTTGAGTAGTATTAGAGATATTTCATTTCCAAATCTTAGACGTTTACATTTGGAAACTCCAGTTGTTACAAGTAATTTACTCTCAATTTTAAATGATCTATTCCCAAATATTACCAACCTTTCCATTAAATATACAACACAGGAGAAGACAGACTCTATTTGTAAAATGTACAATAACTTTGGGAAATTGAAAGAACTCAAATTGATTGTTACACAACAATCTAATCAAATCTATGACGGTTTGAATTTGACACAATTAGAAACAATAGAAGTTCATCACTTTTTGGGCTTTGTTGGGCAAAAGAAGTTTTCAAACATTTTAGATGTGAACGTTTCTGGTTCAGTCAATGATCTTCCAACAATAGTACATTTATTCCCAAATGTCACCTCTCTTGACATTAGTAATTTATATCAAGCCAATTCTGATGCATTTGAATCGAGGCTCGTTGAGAATTTACCAAAATTGCAACATGTTAAAAAGTTGACACTCACAGACAGTACAACAAATTTAGTCTTTCTTGATACTTGGACTCACTCATGGTCTAGTATTTGTGAATTGGACATTTCTCGCATTTCTATTTCAGATGCTCAACTTTCCAAGTTGTCCAAGCTTTCAAATCTTTCTACACTCAAGATGAAAGGTTTATCAGTTGTTGGTAGAAACAACTCTGTAATTGGTGATACTCTCCTCAATTTGAGAAAAACTTTAACCTATTTAGATATTAGCGACTGTAAATCTCTTGTAAATATTTTACCAAATGATGAAAATGCAAATTTGGTATTCCCAAAGCTGAAAGTTTTCAAAGCTGATGGAGCAAACTTGTTAAGTGATAAGAGTATAAGATTTATAATCGCAAATGCTCCAAATTTGGAGAGCATAGGTTTGATGGGATGTAATGAGGTTCAAGATGAAACTATTTCATCCCTTGCCAGTTCCAAATTAATTTATTTGGATTTGAGATATTGTAGACAGTTATCAAATAATGCATTTTTCAAATTGGTCCATTTGAGAAAGTTGACAAATTTGCAAGATTTCAAGCTTGCACTCTGCTTTGATGTGACTCACATTGCAATCGAAAGTATTTTGAGACAGACAAAATACTTGAGAATATTGGAACTCAACAGTTGTAACAAATGCGATCCAGACTATTTGATTAGTAAGCAATTATTTGAACCTTCTTCACTTCCATGTTTAACAGAAATTGACTTTTCAGGAACCAAACTTTCGGATAATGGTTTATTGAGCATGTTAACGAGCCCAGAAAGAAAGGGAACACCACTGTCAAATATCATCAATCTCAAAGTCTCTGATTGTTACAATTTAACTCATGACTTTTTAGATGTAATTGACAAGTTTCTTACTAGTTCTGCTAAACCTTATCTTGTCATTCCAATCATGGTTGGTGAAAAGAAGTTGGTTTTCTTCAGATGTCCATATTTACGTATTGACAATTTGAAACAATCTCTTCCAAGACCACAAAATAAAAACAAGTAAACCATGTTTATACTACTAATTTGCTTTCTTCTTAAACAACAAAGACTCACATCAAACATAGAGTGAAGAAGAGTATTGGAATGTGTCCAATTATTCATCAATCAAAGTTTTACTTAGTAAATTGTTTTCATATTATTTAAAGTCCACTTCTAAAGAATATTGAATTTAGGAATAAAGCAATTCCTTCGGCCAACAAAGATATAAGACATTTTAAAAACTCAGATTTACATTGTTAAGAATAATCTTCAACAACACCAAAAATGGAGTCATAGGGAATCGAACCCTAGACCTTCTGCATGCAAAGCAGACGCTCTACCAACTGAGCTATAACCCCTTATAATCAATTTTCTCAAAACATTGTTTTTAACAAGGGTTTAACAAACAGCTATTTCAAGGTTTTGAAAACTCTTGAAGACAAGTTAAGAGATTGTTAAAGAAGGCCAGAAAGAATGATTGTAAAGCAAAGAAACAACAAAGAAAGCTCAGAAAATGGAGGCGATGTGCCTAAATGTTTTAAGAAGAGAAGACAATGAAGAGGAACATTGAAGAAGGTCGTTAAGAAGATCAAGAAGGCCAGACGTCCTGCTAGAAGAGCTGCCAAGAACGCTAGAAAGGCTTGAAGATCTGCAAGATGTGTTGCTAGAAGAAAGGTCAGAAAAGCTAGAAGGCTAAGAAATCCTTGAAGAAGAGAAGAGCTTTGAAGAGAGCTGTCAGAAAGGGTAGAAAGTTCGGAAGAAAGGTCAGAAAGAGTAAAAAAATCTTCCTCAAGAAAGGCCAGACGTGCTTTCAAAATACGGCACAAAATACTCATTTGTTAGAGAAAATTATTATTAAGATAACTGCCTCAATAATAAAACATGCCAACTTGAGATATTGAACTATTCCAGTTTTATGTTAAAAGCCTTAAATAAATAGAAAGCCACTAAATTTAAAATCACAGGGGGCGAGGGGGAATCGAACCCCCGGCCACAGCTTTGGAGGCTGCGATGTTACCATTACACCACCGCCCCTGTTGATAATGTTTTCACAATTCACTGCGCAACAAACAATGTAATTTCATCAAATTGATTTAATAGTAAAGCTTAAAATAGGTGATAATGAGAACATGACACATTTTTTCATTATCAAATAATAAAAAAATCATGTTGATACTTTTTCATTTTCTCAATTTGATTTGATATTCCTTTATGTTAATATTGGATTATGTTATCAATCCCAATTCAATTCAATACGAGGATCTAAAACTTTTCATTTCTGACAGAACATGAATGTTTTCCGGTATATTATAAAATATAATAAAGCACAAAAAATGCCTTAATATGTGAGCTTCACTATTACTGAGAAATTTCCACATCACAATAAGCAACTCTTCATCACCAGCCACTCACATGATTTTCACATCCCAGAACCACCCAAACCAATTTAAAATGTTTCCATCAAGGTGATTCATTACTTGTTCCTCCTGATGCTCCTCCTTCATCAAATTTAATATTTAGTTTGATACCAGGGGTTAAAATAATTATTCAGAGAGACATTCCTGGTCTTCAAATTTACGATAGAGAACAAATCTTTTGAGTTTTGTAGTATTTTTTGATGAGTTATGAGCTTGCTTTCAGCCAACCACCAAGAGCAACCCAACAAAAAAGAATGAAACGTTACTAATGTCATCACTATCCTCTTTTTAACCAGAAAGAAGCGAATCTCCTTGCAAATACGTTATCATCATCTTATTCCAATTTGTTACCTAATTGACAAAGGTTAATGGGGTTACATTCTTCTTATCCATTTCACAATTCTTGAAGGATATCACCCAATTACCTTATTACAAAGTTCATTTCACTTGGAAAATACATTGTATCATGCTTCACTGTAGTGTGTTACAACATTCGAAGCAGTGTTGAAAGAACCTCTCCTTGAAGCACACTCCTTAAATAACATTTACGAAGGAAGCGCTGTAGAACATTTTCTTGAAAGGAAAAAACCGCGAGTCTGATGACTGTGAACGTTCTTACTGAAACACATCCTAGTTGGACCAACTACTGTAACACTTTACAACTCTAAACATGCAAATCTACAGCTCAAGCAAATATATTTCATTGATGATGGTACAGCACCATCTACAGTTTCAATTTTCCCAATTTAACAAAGTAGATCTCGATTTGCAAACTCCCTTTCCACATCTCTCCAAAATGGTGAATCTTGTTTTAATAATAACAAGTTGTTCATCACCCACTAGAAACTCTTCGAACCAATTGAAACACACAGACCATCTATCAAATATTTAGAGAACCAGTTCAAACAGTCAAAACAACCCAAGTCAACTCATCTTGAATGTACAAACCAATGTTGCATCATGCTTACTTATACTCGCACTATACACATTCGACATCTTTGTAGTAACTATTCAATATCAAACAATAACAAACAATATGAAAAGGCTAAAAGTGAAAAGGCCTTTTAGGATCAAATTGAATAACTGTAGATGAAATTCTAATACAATCCAATACTTGATTCTTCACCAATCCATCAAATAGAATCAAATAGTGCCTACCCGATTTATCCCAATCATCAAATCAATGATTCTCAACCCTCATAGTTGGAGATTAAGCGTCCAATCAATAATTACACAATATCAAACATCACTATTTTTAAAAGACAAGTTACAAAGAGTTTCCATCACACGCATGTTGTTTAAAACGTCTTCGCTTGAGAGATCTACAAGTCCACCTGCCAGCTGTCAATTTAGCCTCTGAAAATGACCCACCAACAAATCATCATCCACAAAAAAAAACTTTCAACAATGAAATACACAACCACAGTTACTTTGGTTGTATTGTGTGCCATTTTAATGGCCAACGTTGCCTTGTGTGACTTGTACATGCACAACCCACGTGGTTCAATTAATAGAAATTGTGAACGTGATGCCAATCGTCGTAATGCTAACCGTTTATTCGACTCTCAAGATAACGCTGCAGGTGGTTATGCTTGCCCAAGAAAGGTTGGTGGCAAGGCAGTCAAGACTCCAAAGATGTACTATTATGAAGGCTCTGAATTGTATTTGGAATGGACCTCACAACACTCTTGCGGTGAACATAACAATTATTGTGAGATGGTTATTCAATACATGTGTAACGATACAGTTGTTGGTACTGACGCAGACTATGGCGATTATTATGCTGTTCGTGATGGTATTCCAACCGACGCAAACGACGACGCAACTGATACTATCAGTGAAGCCACACAAAATGACTTGAGATACGGTGCACACGAACAATTCCAAAATTACTTCAAGTGTAGCAAGAGATTGAGAAATTCTGGCTTGTATATTGCTGATAGAAATTTGGGTTCTCAAGCCACCTCTACCAGACAAAACAATGGTGCTGAAAGATTTGGTTTCGAATGTACTGAAGAACGTGATTATTATCCATATTGGCATACATCTCCATGGGTTGATATTGCTGTCTATACTTCAAATACTTCAATGTGTCAATGGTATCAAGAAAACTCCCAAAATGTTGCTCCACGTGGTGAATGTTGGGATGCTGGTAAGAAGAATTATTTGCAATACAATAATATTCGTGATTGTACTGATAAGGATAAGACCAATGTTTGGGTTGAAGTTCCTGCTTGGGGTGTTGATGCACCAGAATGTTTATCTTCAACATTGATTGCTGCTCGTGACAATTATTTGGGTAACTCTGTTGATGGTCAACATGCTACTTATAAGTGGACTTTGCCATTCATTGAAAAGATGCCATATGATAGTGTTGCTAAGAAGACTCACCACGAAAATTGTGTCTTGAGAATGAGATATAACATTACTACTACTGAAACTCCATTCTTTATGGATTATAAGTATAACTATAGAGTTAATGATAAGACATCTGCTACTCCAATTAGACAAGATCCATGGGAAACCTTTGGTTATCAATCTGAACTCCATTTGGCTGTTAACACTAACCAATATGGTAGAACCTTTGAAGATAGATCCTATGTCTTTGAAATTAGAGAACGTCCATCAACTGTTCCAAAGTGGGTTACTATTCACAATCTTAACGTTCGTGGTAAGAGAGGTAACATTGTCAACGTTTTCCCATCTGTCGAATATGACTTTGTTCCAAACACTTTGACTGTTGATAACAGCCATAGAATCCACGTTCAATGGACTGGTTCTGACTATAATCCAAACAGAACTCCAAACAATGCTGAAGGTGGTCCAAAGGATCCAGCTCAAAATGGTTACAGAGCTGATCGTTCCAACATTGTCCAAATGGATGTTGCTGGTTTGAATACTCCACGTAAATTCTCTGGTATTACCATGTTCTTGAAAGAAGATGGTACCATTGATACTGATCTCGTCCACAAACTTGCTTTCCTTGGTCAAAACATTGCTGACAATGTTACCAGTTGTCCATCAAAGACTGCCTTGTTGGCCAAGAATAATCAAAATACTGCCAATGCTGAATTAGATGATAACAATTGTGGTAAATTGGCCAATACTCCATACGGTCCATACTTTGATGGTGGTTTGGTTCAAATGTGGGCTTCTGGTAAATTCTACTACATGTGTACCAGAAATAACAACTTCTCCAACAGAGGTCAAAAGGCTATCATGATTGTTCAAGGTGGTAGATACTCTGCTGCTCCATCCACTGCTTCACCAGCTTCAACTCTCTTGGTTGTTTTGTGCTCAGTGTTGATCATTGCTTTTAACATGTTGTTCTAAATGGATTAATCAGTATTAATCAAATAAAACAAAACTAATTTATTATAATTTATTGGTCTGTTTCTGTGTACAACGTTGAAAAATTAGGTAGAGTTGGCAACTCTGGAAGTTTCGGAATCTGTAAACCGTAACCAACTTTACAAAATTATTGATGTTACTTTGGAAAAGGCAAAAAAAATGAATCCATTCGAATGGAGAGAATATAATGGAGGATTTGCCATCGATTTTGGTGAATACTCTATGAAAATGGCTTATATTGATAATTCTGGTTCTCATCTAATTAAATTATCAAACACTGATGAGAGTGATGAATGTAAATCTTCACTTCATACGAATATTTGCACAGAAATGAATGATGGAAAAACAATTTTCGGAAAATCAAATTTTGATGATCAAGAGAATATGCGATGGACAATTATGGATCGATTCAAGGAAAAGTTTAATACTGTTGATCATTTGACTGATCCGAATTCAATAATGAATTTAATGAGTCAATTTATCAAACATGGTATTCAAATTGCTCAAAATGAAATGCAAAATAAGATTGTGAAGGCTGTAGTCGGTCAATCAACTGTACTTTTGAATAGGAGAGAATATTGGAAAGATCCATTTAGAATGGCTGGTATTTCAGTTCAACGAACAATTCAGGAACCAGTGGCTGCTTGTTTGAATTTTCACAGAAAAGCCAAAGGAAATATTTTGGTTATCGATTGGGGAAGTGAATTGAAAATTACAAAAATTGTGGAGGAAGATTCAATATTTGAATTAGTGGAAACTTATGGAGATTCATTACTCGGTGGTTGTGCAATAACCATGGAATTGGTCAATTTTTGTTTGAAAAAGTTGAGCAATCAGATATTGGATTATGATGCAAAGAGATTATTTTACAAATGTGAGAGAGTTAAAGAGCTACTTTCTCAAGGAAGTTTGGAAAGTATGAGTGTTTCAATTGGATATGAAACTGTAAATGTTAATAGAGATGAATTGAATCAAATTTATGAAGAAAAACTATCACAAATTCCAAATATTATGGAAAAGATGAAATGTCGTTCAATAGAAAACGTAATTTTATGCGGAGGCTCATTTAACTCCAATTATTTGAATGAAAGAGTAAGACAATTATTTAACAGTGATATCAACATTCTAACCAGCTCAGAACCTGATGAAATTATTGTTAGAGGAATAGCCCAACAAGCAGAATATCTACACAAACCAAGACTTGACAATTGTCTAGTTAGTTATGTACTCCCCTTATCTATTGGAGTAGATAATGACTCTGGGAAAATGTTGGAAATAATTCCACGTAACACATGGTATGCTACTTCAAAGGAAGCAGAATTGACAAGGACTGTAGTGAATGGCTCCATAGATCTTAACTTTTTCGAGGGAATGTATCAGAATGTAATTGATAATATTTGGCTTGGACAGATTTCTTTTCAAAATTTAGAGAATGACTCAAAAGTTAAAGTTTCAATTACAATGCATGTCGATGATGATTGTAATATTGTGGTGAATGCTCTGGTGAAAGATATTAAAAAACAAATTAAAATGACAAAGTACGATAGAACTCTCTCTAGAGAAGAACAATTAAAGATGATTGAAGATAGCTATTCCTTGGGAGTGAATTTGCCAGTCATTTACAAAACAACTATAGATGGTTTAGAGGAATTGGATTAAAGACATGTTTATTTCTTAACAAGCATTCTTTGACAGATTTTACAAATGGGAGAGGGAAAAGAGCTCTCCAGATTTTGCAGTGCTAGATCAGGTTCATGATGAATGTGAAGCGTCGATGGTTTAGTGGTAGAATACGGCGTTGCCATCGCCGTGACCCGGGTTCAATTCCCGGTCGACGCATGAATTATCTTTTCATTCCTTCATTGTTAAAGTAATTTTAACTATTTTTCTATCACTTAGAAGACATGTATTGACACAATATTCTCTATTTTCTCTCAAAATAGAAGAGTATTCATCGAGATATTCACCTCCTTTCAACTAGCAAATTTTAACCTCAAAATTAAGCATAAATCACCAATCATGGATTGAGATAATTATCAAATCTTTGAATTAATTTTTGTTTAAATTTAAAAACCCAAGTTCCCATGAACCCGCTTTTCAGTATCTGTTTGAAATCCTTAATCTTGAACAAAAAAAATGATGAACAAGAGAACATTCACTGCCAGCTTAAACTACTACTTTTTGATGGTTCTTCTGTTATGCTTGGTTGTTGAGGCAGCTGGTTCTATCGGCTTACTCACAACACTGGCCGGCGGAGGTGATTGTGATGGTGATGATAAAAAGTATGCCATCCTTACTTCTCCTTCTTATATTTCCATAGGGCCAAATGGTGATTTATTTATTGCTGATACTGAAAGTTATAGGATCCGAAGGATTTATACAAATGGTACCATCCTTACTGTTCTTGGAAGAAGATGGGGCTATGATAAAAACGTAGATCCAAAAACAATGATGATCAATCCTTATGGTGTTGCTGTGGATTCTATGGAACAAGTTTATATATCAGATACTGACCGTAATAGAATTTGTAAAATTCTGACCAATGGTACATTTAGAATTGTTGCAAGTGCCAATTCACCAAGAGGAATCACTGTTGATTCCAATGATGAAGTTTACTTTGCTGACTCGAAAAATCATAGGATTCGGAAAATTCTGAAAGATGGAACTGTCATCACAATTGCTGGGACTAAAACTGGAGGATATAATGGTGATAACATTCCACAAACTACAGCACAACTCAACAACCCATATGATGTTAAAATTGGTTCTGATGGTGCTATTTATATTGCAGATTATGGAAATAATAGAATTCGTAAAATTGCTAACAACACCATAACAACAGTTGCTGGTAATGGAACAATAGGTTCTGATTCAGATAATGCGGAAGGAACAAGTGCCAAACTGAGTGGTCCAAGTGGTATTGCTATATCTTCAACTGGTGATGTTTACATTTCTGACACAAACAATAACAAGATAAGAAAGCTTTCAACCAATGGAATAATTACAACATTTGCTGGAACTGGAGTAAGTGGTTTTTTTGGAGATAAAGCAGACGCCAAAAGGGCTAGGCTTTCTGGACCAAGAGGTTTGGCAATCACTGCCAGTGGTGTTCTTTACATAGCTGACACTAACAATAATCGAATTCGTCAGGTTTCCCAACAAAACATAATCTCAACATTTTCAGGGAATGATGACAAGGTTTATTGTTCTGATGCTGGATTGGCACTTGGTTCTAGAACCCCATCTCCTCGAGGAATTTCCCTTGACCCCACCACTGGTGATATTTACTTTGCAGATTCTACTAATCAAAGACTTAGTAAAATTACAAGTGATGGTGAAATTGAACTAGTTTCTGGAACTGGAGAAGCAAATTTCTTTGGAGAAAATGTAGTGGCAACAACAGCCAAGTTAAATAATCCTAGTGGAGTAACTGTGGATCCTAAAACTGGCGACTTATACTTTGCAGATACCAAGAACAATAGAATTAGAAAAATTACACCTTCAAAAATAATTTCAACAATTGCTGGAACTCAAACAACCATTCTAGGAGATGGAGAATTAGCAACAAAAGCTTCATTAATTGCTCCTTCTGAGATTATTCTTTCTCCAACTGGTGAAATTTATATATCTGACAGTGGTCACCACAGAATTCGTAAAATCTTGACAAATGGTACCATTATCACATATGCAGGAACTGGACTTAAACCTTATAATGGGGATGGCATTCAGGCAACATGTGCTAATTTAGATACTCCATATGGAATCGCTTTAAATTCGGATGGGGAACTCTTCATAGCTGACCAAAATAACTATAGAGTTCGAAAAGTATTTACAAATGGAACCATTGTAACAATAGCAGGGAATGGGGAAAGAACTTACAATGGAGACAACATCCTTGCAACAAGTGCTGCAGTAGAGGCACCAACAAACATTGCACTAGATTCAAAAAGTGGAGCATTATATGTCGGAAGCTCTAGAATTCGAAAGATTGATTCGAAAGGCGTCATCTCCACTGTTGCAGGTACTGGAATTGTGACTGGTATTTTTTTGTATACTGATGGTATTGAATCAACCAGTGCTAATATCAACACAGGGGGACTGTATCTTTTGTCTAATGGAGATTTGATTTTTTCAGATAGAAGCTCTCAATTGATTAGAAGATTAACTTTTACGAGATGTAATGGAACAATGTATGATGATGCCAGTGTTTGTAATGGAAGGGGAAATTGTACAACAAATGATCAATGCTTTTGTGAATGGGGCTATTATGGAAAATTTTGTGAGAGCCAAAATGTTTCTTGTTTTGGAAAATCACAAAATGATAGTTTAGTTTGTTCGGGAAATGGAGAATGTTTTTCTTTAGATAACTGTACATGTTTTAATGGATGGAAGGGATCAGATTGTTCAAATAACTTGACTATGAATGAAAGCTCGTTAAATTCCACCACTTCACCAATTTGTGTGCCATCCTTGAATTGTTCGTCTCACGGTGAATGTTCAGCCAATGGTACTTGTGTTTGTTATTCAAATAGTATTGATGGATATTTCACATTGGAGAATTGTAGCACTTGCCAAATCAACTATTATGGTGAATTGTGTTCGACTAGTTTTAGTGAAACTTTGAGAATTACAAATGACTGTAAAGGAGTTGAGTTAAATTTGACAAGTCCTTTTAAATATCAATCATTTAGCGTTCAGTGCTCATTATTAATTCATGAAAATGACCTGAATCTATTTGGTGAAAATCCTAAATGTTTTTGGAAATCAAAAGAACTGAACAATGTGTTTGTCATTGAATTTGGAGATAATTACTCATTGAAATCCCAAGATTCTATCAGATTTTACACTTCAGTATTTGATTTTAATAGAAATGCATCTCAATATGTAACAAGGACAGTTCAAACTCCTTCTGATCCAGTAAAACCACTAGCCATCATTTCAACACTAAGGAAAATGTACAATGCTTGTGAAATTATTGAGATAGATGCATCATCTTCTTATTCACCGGATAGAAGACCATTGAATTTTAGGTGGTCAATTATTCAATCCCCTTCAAACGAAACGCTGGTCAATTCTCTCATTCAAAATACTCAAACAAATTCATCCATCACACTACCTTTGGATCAGAGTAGGACTATTGGAGATTACATTGTGAGATTACAAGTAGAAAGTACATTCACCAATAGCTTGAGCGATTATCAAGATTTCAAATTCACCATAACACTGGACAGTATTCCTAATTTATCTATTATTGGATATAAGGATGGTTATATCAATGTGAAAACAATGGATGTTCCATTATTTGTTGAAAAGTCAGTTTCACTTCCTTCATGTTTGACCAACACGAACGAACTTGTTAAAGTTGAATGGAACCCAAGTGGTGGTGGCGATTTATTGAATTACTACATTAATTCAAATAACGATTTGGTGATACCAAATTTCCAAAAGAAGGGAATTTATCAATACACATTTAATGTTACTGCTTATTTAATAAGCAATCCTCTTTCCATTAGTTCAATACAATTGGTTATTGAAACAAGATCAGAGCAATTATTTTCCAACTTGTACATCGATGACATCTCATCAAAGCAAGCTAAAATTATTGTTGAAAGTCAAGATATTGAACAAAGCAATGAAAATGAAATATGGACTTTAACTTGCCAAGGTTTAACAACTTTGAGTGATTGTGGATCAACAATTTCTAATCAACTTTCTAATTTGGCATTATTGAAATCGAACTTGTTAGAGTTAACTGCATCCGACTTTTCAAAACAAGATTCAACATATTTAATTAGCATTGTAATTACAAAAGGAATGAGACTGGTTTCAAGTTCTGTTCAATTAACATATCCAAAATCAAATGATAATATTCCTCCACTAATAAGCTTGTTGAATGTTATTCCAAATAGACAAAAACTCTCAGTGAATGAGGTGCTAAATCTGCAGTTATCAGTGACAAAATCTGATGGTTCTGATTTAACTAATATTAAGAGAAATTGGTTACTGAATGGAAATTCAATTCCATTAGATTATTTGAAGAGAATGGCTTCATTGGAATCCAATTCTTTAATAATGGAGTTAAGAGGTTTAGAGGAAGGAACTACCAATCAAGTTTCTTTACAAGTTACTGATTTGGATACTGGATTATCCAATCGCTTTGATTATTCATTCACTATTTCAAAATCTCCTCAGCAATGTAGTTGCTTAATTTCACCCACCACTGGTTTTGCAATGGAAACAGATTTTACATTTAATTGTCTTAGTTGCCAAAATAAGGAAAATTCCTTGGTGTTTTCGCATTACTTTATTGATAAAGGTGCCTCAATTCCTTTGGTCATTAGGGGAGGAAACAGTTTCACAACCAAGTTACCTTATCCAATTTTAAATCCACTCCAATTATCTACGAAAATTATTGATAAAGATAGCGAAGCATCAGTTACAACCTATCAAATTATTCAAATTCAACTTCCAATAGCCACAAGTTTGCGGGCTGTTAAGACTTATTCAACAAAATGGAATGGAATTCAAAATTCGCTTCAACAAGACGATGTACGTAGAATGATTTTCAATTCTGCAATTATTTCTCGAACAATTGATGCAATGATTGCAAAATTGTCAGTTGGAAGAAGAAGTATTCAAGAAGTTTGTTTGAACGGAGGAACATTCAGTGAAAAATTACAAAAATGTTCATGTCCAATAGGTTATTCAAAGCGGGACTGTAGTTTGTCAACTGATGATTTCTTAATGGTACAAGAAATTAAAAGGTCACTATTCAACAACTTTTTGACAGCCAATCAAAATAATCAAATGAAGATATCTGACACTTATCTAATATGTCAAATATATGGATTAGATTCTTTATTATCTAATTATGACGAAATAGATCAAGAAATGTTTGAAAGAGGATCTAAACTATTCAAGTCTCTTATAGAATTAGCACATGGTAACTCTCAATTACAACCTGGTCAAGGAGTTGATAATTTAAGTTCTAGCATTTTAAATTCCTTGTATGGTTACTTGATTTATGCTGGATGTAGGGAAATGTCCTGTCTTGGAAATCAATTAATTGAAATGAATTCAATGATGGAAAGTATTTCACAATTATTATTAAGATCTAGATTCGTTGGAGAAGATCACATGAAATT